GGGCACATTGCCATTCTGAAGCAAACTGAGGTGTGCTAGGAAGGAAGAAGGGGAGAGGGTATTGAATGGTCATAGGCAGAGTCTTCCAAGAAGCTGCCTGGATTGGGGTTTTCGAGAAGAACGCCCCACCCAGCAAGTCACCAGGCCCTTCTCTTCATCCCCAAATGTCTTAAAGGCTGGCCATAGTAGAGAATATAAAGTGGATTTTTCTGCCAAGTTGGAGGTTTCTGGGGACATCTGAGCTAGGAAAGTGGAAGAGGGTTATTCTGACTACACGTGCTAGTCTTTGAGTGCTTTCTCTTCCTGAAAGCCCTCAATCAGAAACGCGCAGTGGGGAGCACAGGGGCACGGGACCAGCAGGAGTGAGAGCCACGTGCTGGGGGGACGTCAGGATGCCACGCCCACCCTCAGTTACCTTGTCGGGACCCTGGGGCTCTGCACTTCACGTCGTCCTGCACATCCCACTCTCCCCATGGAGAGCACGGAGCGTGGTTACAGGTCTGCCCCTCCTTCCAGGCTGGGCCCAGCTCCCTCCCTGAGGACCTCCTAACTACTGGCCCTTCCCCTCAGACCCCTGAGCCCGCTGGGGTAGCACCGGCCACACTCTGAGGGTGTGCACTGTCCTAACAGTGGTCTTCAAAGTGAGGTGGCCTGACACGTAACATCAGCATCACCTGGGAATTTGCCTGGGAATACACATTTTGGGGCCCCACACCACCCCGGTGAAATCAGAGACTCTGGGGGTGGGCCCAGCACTCTGTTTAATAAGCCCTCAGTTGTTCTGATGCACCCGTAAGTTTGAGACTCATTAACAAATAATAATGTGCAGGCTGTGAAATAGCTCCTGGGCTGTTAGCACCAACTCAAATCAGCTGGGAAAGACAGACATAAATAGAGCCCACCTGGCCCTTCTGCACTTCAGCACCAACCAGGCAATAATCCTGGGAAGGCAGATTTTTGAGTCTAAGAATAATTGTTAGAGATAGGAACCACAGAGGGACCATCTAAATCTCTATTTTATAGACTTGGGAACTGAGATTGAGACAGGAGAAAGTATTTGCCTGAGGTGAACAGCAAAAGTGGAACTAGAATTCAAGTTTCCTGAATCCCAGGTGAATGGTTTATTTTATTTTTTCCAAAATGAAATATCTTCTAAAAAAATTATGGCATGTATACCTATCGTGTGAATCTTGTACAAGAACATGGTCCAAAGGAATCCATCCTCGATGCAAACATGTAAAGAAAGCCCTGGGGAGGGATCTGAAGGTGGGGGTGACCCCATCCTTCATGTGCTATGGAGCCAGGAGGACCTGCCCATCCTTGTTGAAGGTCACTCAACTTCTATCTCTTCTTCCACACACCAGCCCAGTGGCCTCACCAAATGAGCCCAGGAGCAGGGAAAGTGGGCTTTAACTGAACTCCTTGTGTCTTTCAGAGCCCTAAGAAGAGGGCTGCCAGAGCTGGACAGTTGTCCACATAGCAGGCTGGCACAACCCAATCATTTTTGGGGCCCAGGACAAGAGCACCCATGAAGGCCCACCTACCACGTGGTTGCAAATTTAAAAACTTACAAATCAAGTTAACAAACTTAAATGTGTCCTGTCTTCCTACTTTGACAAATAAACTGTTATAAAGACTCGGCAGACTGGAATATGAGGTTCAGAGGGAAGAGGCTCCAACCCATACTTGCAGGGCCTGTGCGCATGCAAGAGGACACTGCCTGTTCATCTAGCTCCAGCTACACCCTCTCACAAGGGCCAAATTTTGACCACAGTTTGGAGGCAGGCCCTGGAGAAGAGACCTGTTCAGACCCTGAAAGCTCAGGACTGCTTGAGATAAGAATTCCAGGAGCATGGTCTAAAAGATGGGGTATGGGCTTTGGGTGAACAGGTCCCTTTTCCTCGCAACTCCTCCCACTGTGGGGTTGCTGTGGTCAGAGAAGAGCTCCAGCAGAGGCCTCGGAGGGCTTGCTTCTCAAAATGTGGTCCTTGGACTGGCAGCAAGGGCACCACCTGGGAGCTGGTTAGAACGGCAGCCTTACTCCAGACATACTGAATCAGAACAGCAATCTAACAAGATCCCCAGGGGATTCACGTGCACATCGAGGTTGGAAAAGCACTGTTCTAAAGCACAAAACCTAACACCAAGGTCCCTCTTGTCCAGGTCTAGGAATATTAACAGTAAGCATTAATAAATATTTGCTCAGTGAATGTCCACTATCACCTACATCCGTCGGGTGGCTGCCTGACTCATGATGCTTTCATCTCTTTCTCTGGGCCCTCGGTGACCAAGTTTCAGCTCTAGGTCCTGTTGATGGCCTGCGCTGATTGTCACAGGAGGACTCACCTGACCCACATTAGGTCAAGAAGATGAGATCTCCCAGGAACCTGAAATCCAAATTAAGCCGAACAATAAAGCTCTGAGAGTAACAGCAGTGGTAATAGCCAATGTCTTCCTGCACCTGTTAGGTGCTAAGAACAGTGCTAAGTGTTTTACATGTAGTATAACCCGATCTTCACCACAGTCTCACTAGGTTGGTATTATTATTCTGCTTAATTTTTAGATGAGAAGATGTGGCTCAGATGTTAAGTAACTCTCCCGAAGGTTTAAGGAGGGCAGGTGCAGCACCAGGAGAGCTGATTGGCTCAAACTGAGCCATGTGGTGCTGAGACAATGTCATCAACTTCCGCTGCCAGGTTATCAGGGTTCCCAGCTTCATGGTGATGGGGTGCTGTGGGGAGCAAGAGACCCTGCTCCAAGACCCTGCAGGGAGCAAGGGAGGCCTTGGGGCAGAATGAAGGGCAGGAGCCATGGGAGAGGGGAACACAGAGAACCTCTACTCCCTGAGAGAGAGCAGGACACCAGCCAAGCCCAGCCCGCCCACCACACTTCAGTACAGGCCAGAGAGCTCCCACTGCGTGGATCTGACCCCTCCTTTCCTTCTTCCAGTGAGTTAGAAGCCAACTTGCCAAAGAAAGGATGTGGGTGACTTACTTTGGAGACATAGGGTTGGCGGGATGGTGAGGAAGTCTGCATCCTCCTCTGTATCCTATCCCCAGAGAAGAAGACACCTAAGATGCTGAGGGGATCAAGGTGGCTAGAATGTGCTGGGATGGCTGAGGCCCTGCACGGGCCAGAGAACCAGCCAGATTGGAAAAGGGAGTTGGGGGCCTCACTGGCTGGAGGCACAGACTGTTTCCTGACTCTGGCTCTGAGTGGCATCTGCCATTCTGGGTGGCAGAGGGGTGGCCTGAGGCACGTAGGCCTCTGACCACCTAAGAAGAAAAAATCAATTAGCAGCAGCAGGTTTCTATCCTGGTGCAGGGTTGTTTGGCTTTATTTGAAAAACAAACCAACATCCTTCATTAACACTAACACAGGGGTGGCCCTCTGCTGTCACCTGACAATTAGACATCACACAGCACTGACACAGGTCACACCCTTGGTAGGTTCACAGTACAGTGTCACACCCTGGGCAGCACACTGGCCCAGGGTGGCCACACAGAAATATATTTCTCACTGCACAAATCTCCCTTAAAAAAATCAAACAATCATCAGGTCAGAGAAGACTTGTTGGCTCCTCCAGTGAAGAGGGTACAAACTTGGTAGCTGAGGCTGGCTCCTTCTGGCCCCTCACAGTGGGGGCTGAGGACCAGGACTTCTCAGGATGGTGTCTGACTATGGCCAGGACACTGCCAGTGGCCTCCTTCCCCACTGAGGATGGAAGGGATCCAATGCCCACAGGTGGGGGCGAAGCACTGGGAACCAGCCTGTCATCAGCATCCCCAAGGCCCCCGCAGACTGAGATGCAAATAGCTCCAGGCCCACACGGCTCCCAGTCTGCTGATGAGGGTGGCTTGCTCCTGTTTCTTCTCTTTCTTTTCACTTTTTTTAGAGACAAAATTTCAGAGTAAGAGCTGGCAGTTCTGGAAACTTTTTCTGGCTTCTCAGACAACTGTGGTAATGATGGAGACCCTCTCCAGGCACTTTCTGCTGACTTGCAGTGGAGGGGAAGGAGGGACTCTTCCTCTGGAGTGAGTGGTCCTCAGGCCCAGGCAGTACAGGGCTGGGTGAGGAGACCCCGTGCTCACACTTAGGGAGATGGGGCTCCCTTCAGCACCCCACCCGGCCTGTGGCATCTCTGACAAAGAGAAAGGCAACTCCCCATTTCTAGCTCTTCAGAGGGCCTTGTGCTGACTTAGATCTTCGCCACCTCCTGCTTCATGGGCTGGACACCACTGGGCAGCCCTGGAGGCCAAACTCTTCAGTCCGGAGGCAACTCTTGCTGCTAGAGGTACAAGAGTAGCTCCAGAGTGGTGGACATCACACCGGGGTAGAAGGGGAAACGCAGGAGTGGGCATTCCTGCTGACTGGGCTTAACTCCAGAACAGAGCCCGGTGCAGCTGAATTCACCACAGGGCAGGGCACACAGCGCAAGTCCAGTTCTGAGGCCTGCTCTTCTTACCACAGACAAGATTTTAGACCCCCAATCCTGCATCAAGCCCCCTGCCTCGTAAAAATTCTGAGATGCATTTCCTTTATCTGAGGAGCCCTTGAGGGCTTCATTCCTAGGGTCAGCCCTGGCCTCCCTGTCCTTCCCAGCCCGGCACAATCAGGGGTCTGGTGGTCTGCACCACGCCAAGCTGCAGAAGACAAGGACAAAGGGCTTCATGGGCCCAGAAGCTTCGCCTGCTTGGGGGCCTGGCTCCAGCCTCATCTGGCGACGCCTCAGTGGGCAGCTCAGTGTCCTCTGGAGAAAGGCAGACATGGGAAGTCTAGAGGACAGACGGAGCGGGGTCGGAGGGGAGGTGCTGGGCGCGTTGTCCATTCTCCAGAGGGGAAGGTGGGAACCAGCAGGGACGGGCCGGCTGGCCTGTCATCTCACCAGGCCCCCTGGGTGGCTCCGCAGGACAAGCTCCAGCTGAGAGGGCCGTGTGGGAAGCTCGGGTTCAGCCTGTTTCCTTGGTAACGGTCTTTTCCAAACCCAAGCCTGGTGAGGATCCATGTGGTGGGAGCCTGCAGATCTGCAGGGAAGCGGCTATGCCAGCCTGTGGGTGGGGTGTGACTAGGAGGCTGGCCAGCGCACCACCTCAGGTAGCAGAGGGACAGGTGGTGCCTGGGAGGCAGAGGCTGGGTTCCAGCAGGAGAGACCTGCTCAGTCCAGTTGGGGGATTTTTCTTTAACAGTCACAGTCATCTTTATTCCACTTGGAAGGAATCACTGAAACTTCAGTGTCAGAATCGCAGCCCTAAGGAGGTCTATGGTTTCTCACGCTTCCTCTCCCATCACACGTTAACCAGATTTACTGAGAAGAACAGCCTTATTTAGAGAGATTTCTGAACAGGTTTCCATTCCCAGGGAGGGCGAGGCTTGCCCACAGCTGCTTCAGAGGGAGGGCTGAAGGAGGCCGACAGCGAGGGCCAGTGGGAGCAGCAGCAGAAGTGGGAACACCCTGGAGGCAGTGACCCCTGTGGGATTAAACAAATGCAGTTAAGGCCTCGCTTGAAGCTTGGAGAGCCGAGTTTGTGGCCGGCTGGCACTTGTGTGCAGGACTAGGTGGAGCGTATTTCTGTGTACTAACCTCTCTCCAGGCTCCCTCTTGCTATCCCATTACAATTTTTCTTTCTCCTGATTTCTTTACATATTCATTCCTTTCAAAATGACAGTACATGTATATTTATGCAGTTGCCTGAATCCTCTTTGAACGATTATTTTTAGCACTTATATTCATTATCCAGGTCTGTCTGGGTTCCACAGCCAGTGTTTCTGCTATAATTGTTCAGACCTCCCCAGGACACTTTACCTTGATCATTTGCAAAGACCCAGAGTGCCCTTCAGTTTACTAAAGGTTTTGGGTGAAGGGCTCTGAATGATGCCTGGGGAATGTGCCCACCCTTCCTCTGTAGGGTGTGGACCCGCCTGTCCAGGGCTCTTGCACCTGCCCTACCTGTGCCCGAGCACTGCTGAGACAGCATCCCTTCCAGAGCCGCCACATAGTCCTGGCCCAGCCAGTCATGGTACGTGGTTTTCTCTCCCACAGGCACTGCCCGGATGGTAGCATCCTTGAAAAGCAGGTCCTGGCCATGATAGTTGGAGGAGTCGAACATTTTGAACCCATTCTTATTGTGGTCATCTCCAAACAGGTCCTGGAAGCACACAGCAGAACTGCTTTGCATCTGGGCTCACAAACGGTCACCCAGGTGCCACTTGCCATTAACTGCTTTACACACCGTGAACCAAGGCGCAAGGAAAGTCAGGTGCCAAGACTCTGCTTGGAAATCATAAGGTTGACAATTCATTGACCTCTGTCACCAAAGGGGATTTGGAGTAAGAGATGACCATAGCCACCACTGTATGACAGCCACTCAGAAATATCACACCAAACTAGCTCTTGGATACAGAACTGAAGCCTGAGACTTACATGAAGAAAGACCTATAAATAAGAGATGATGTGGATGAGATTACTGAGGGCTTTGCTAGGCCTGCCCAGCATTCAGCAGCCTTTTCTACCAGGCTTCCTCACTCTGTCTTACAGGTGTCCTTTACTCCAAACCAAAATGATTTCATAAGAGAGCCTTTTGTTCTGTCACTAGTACTAAGAAAGTCCTAGACGAGTTGAATATCCTCTATTAACCCACTCGGCTAGTGCGCAAGACATTCTTGCAAGAGCTATTCTCTTCCCTGTGGAGGGTCCTCAGGATAGGTGTGCTCTGGCTCCACCCTGAGAGAGCCAGTAAAAAGACCAGAAGGGGTGTGAGAAATTATAAATACATAAAGGACATCCAGAGCACAGGGACAAATGACTGTGTCAGCTTTTCAATACTGACCAAGGGGAAAAGAAAGAGTAAGGTGGCTATTAATCTCTCTGGGGTGACTCATGAATCCTCTTGAGGAGCTAATGAAAACTCTGAGTCTTCCCTCCAGAAAAGTACACAGCCACACAAGGTTCTTCTCCCATATCACTTTGGAGGGTTTGTCAAGAACTCCCGGGACAGAGGGACTCCACGTGGGAACATGAGAGTAAACATCATTTCAACTTTTATAAACTGGCCTGGAGAGCCAACTGGCTCTGCAAGTCTGCAGTGCTTTATGGGTGGAGGGAAAGGTCAACTTCAGCCTACATCAGGTTGAGGGTGGGTAGAGGGGGAGGTTGGGAACCAGGGGCTATGTTGTCAGACAGCCTGAGTTCAAACTGTAGATGTGTTTAAAAGTGTGACCAATAGGATTTGCTGATGGACTGGAAATAGAGCATGAGAGGAAGACAGGAGTCCGAGCTGATTCCTGAGGAAATGGAAAGGCTAAAGCTGCTGTTCCCTGAAGTGGGGGAGATGGAGGAGAAAGAGGAGTCCAGGATAGATTTGTTCAGTTGGAGAGGCCTTAGAAATATCAGTCAAAATGTCAAGCAGGCAGTTGTTAAAGATACAAGTGTGAGTCTGAAGGGTGGGTCTGAAGCAGGGCTGAAGATGTACATTTAGGAGGCATCAGTGTGTAGACAGCAGTTAATGACCTGGGGCTGGATGAGATCAGTAGGGGTGTAGGTGCTGACAGAAGAGAGGATTTAGGATTGCACCCCAGGGCACTCCAGTGGTTACTGGCCCAGGAAAGGAGGAAGAACCAGCAAAGGAGACTGGGAGGAGTGCCCAGAGAGGCAGGAGGAGAGCCAGGCCAGTGTGCGGCTCTGGGAGCCAAGGAGGAAACTGCTTCCAGGAGGGAGGTGAACTTCAGGAAGAGGGAGTTGCAGCCAGTGCTGCTGAGAGGTCAGGGAGAGGCAGGCTGCAAAACAGCCACTGGATTTAGCAACAGGGGTCAATGTGACCTTGACCAGGACAGTTTCATGGTCCTGGTGAGGCCCATCTATAGTATCCATCCTTAAGAGACAGACCAGAGGAGAGGAACTGATGACTCCAGAGTAGAGACAGCTCTTTGAAGGAGTTTTGCTGTAAAGGGGAGTGGGGTTATGGCCAAGCAGGAGGGTTCATTTGTTTTTACAAGATGGTAGAAATAACAACATGTTTGTATGTTGATGAGAATAGTCCGACTGGGAAAGGAAAATTAATGATGTAGGAGACCAACCAAGGGGACAGTGGTTGGAGACATGGCCCTGGCTAAGTGAAAATCACAGAATTTCCCCTCAGGCTTCCTCAGCTTCTCCTGAGGTCTGCTCCAGGTAAACTGAGGCATCCCGTGGGCTTGGCCCACCTCTGTCGCCCTCCCCAGAGTGAGGTAGCCCCTGCCCTGGCTCACCTGGGCCTTGTCCAGCAGTCCATACACAGTGAAGATGTTGGTGTCTGGCCGGACCATGACGGCATGGGACGGTATCTGTGCCAGGTTGCAGGCTGCAAACTGGGATACCTCGGCCCGGGCCCCATTGGGACACAGGAGCTCATAGTCCTCCAACCTGAGCTCAGCAGCCCAGGGCTCAGCATTGTGGCCTGAGGGGATGGAGCAGAGGGAGAGGCAGGGAGGGAGGAAGGAATAAAGAGACGGTGCTCTCCTCCGGGACCCCCAAATCCTCGACTGGGCAGAGGTGGTGATATCTGGCCAGCTCCCCAACCCCTTTCCATTCTTCAATTGCTCCGTTCTATTGCCAGGGTGAGAGAACCCAGCTGGGCTAACAATGTTATTCATAGGAAATAAGTATCCACTGTGTAACAGTTTACAAGCACTGCAGGCAGGTATGATGGCTCCCATTTTACAGGTGGAGAAACTGAAGCTCTTAATCACTCCCAGGCAAAGAACTCCATTTGTGTGCTAATAGGTCTCAGGCCTGAGGGTGGGATGGGTTCCTGAAGGTGGTGGTTGACCTTCTCCCCTAATGGCTGAACTTCTCAAACCAGAGGGAGTATAATATCACATGTTGATCTATAAGAGGAAGTTTCAAAGGCCCCTCCTTGCAAAGAATCTTATCACGTAGATCTAGGCGGGTCCCAGGAGTCTGCATTTTAAACTAGCAACCCAGTGATTCTGAAGATAGTGGGTAGTTCAAAGGCTCCATGGGAAACACACTGTTCTTGGTAATCACGTTATTTTTGTGCCTTCATTCATTCACTTAGTATCTGCTCTTCCTATTTCCAGAAGGAACTCCAGGTGGGCCTACTAGCAGACATAAAAAAAATTTGAGCGGCCCTAGGTGGTTGCCTGCAAGTGAACCTCTCAAAGGTGTCTCCAGCCCTGCCTCTTCCCCTGACCCTCATTCCAGGACCACAGAGGGCACAAGGCTGGGATCAGGCAGGGCCCATAGCTCCTGCAGGAGCACACAGCTCCTTACTCCTGGGGGAAGATCCCCAATATTCTTGGTGGGAGGTTGGCAGGGGATAAAGGTTGTGGCAACAGGGCCTGGAACTCTGTTGGGGTAACTGTTCTACAGCCTCGGTGACCTTTGTAGGCAGGATGGGCAGGATTGATGTGATGTTTTCTCCCTGCATGTCTTGCTTTCCCTTACCACCAATCTCCTCCTCTTCTGGCCTTATTCCTTTCTGCCCTGAGTTTCTGGGAAGGGATGGGTTAAGACAGAGTGGAGAAGACTGAGCCTCCAGAGTTTGGGGTTTCAAAGCCTGGGGTGTAGCCAGGGTATACAGAAAATGCAAACAATAAGAAGGGAAACAGCTTCCAGTCTTCAAAACCGATAGATTCCCTGAGGAAGGAGAACAGGACTGGGAGGGGAGGGATGCATGATAAGGGGCTGCACTCCATAGGACCTCAAGAGGGGGTGTAGAGGTCCTGGAGCAGAGTTCCTCAGCTCTTCTTCCCAGGTGGAGCCCAGGAAAGTGACTCCAGATTAAAAACCACCTGTATGATGTGAATGGGGGTGTGCTGTGCCTTATGCGGGTTTGGGGCTGCAGAGTGATTTCCCTGTTCGTGGCACTGACCTGCTCAGGTAAAAGACCAGATGCTGATGTGAACTGATGACCCTGTGGAAAGAGGCCCCTGCCACCCACACACCTTGGTGCCACATAAATACCCTTGAAGGGGTCTCTTTAAATTGACTGAGTTTCTACTATTTTGTGGAATGGGGATTTGGATTCCAGACCAGTAAAGACTGTATGTGACCTGTGCACCTGAATATGCGGCCTGGGATCTGTTCTTAACATTTGGCCCTTGGGGCCCCCAGGATGCCCAAGGGGCAGAGCCTTCTAGGCTCAGCATCTCTCAGCTGCTGCTTGGCCTGCAATTCCAGCCACATCCAGTGCCTGGATTGTGTTGGAGTTGGGGATCAGCCCCGCCAGAATCTGGCCCTGCTTTGGCCCCAGCCCTGTCACATACCATTTGTGTTGTCGAAGACAGTCGTGTGCTTGACGAAAGCGACGTCCCCTGCATTCTCAACCAGGCACCTGCCACACAAGAAGCCAAGGTAGGTGTTGGCAGAAGGGTCCCGCCACTGCACCCGGCCCCAGGCCCATCCACCTGGCCCATCGAGTACCTGAAAGCGCCGCTGTAGCCGTAGTACCTCTCCTGGCTGTTGCCCACACACTTGTTGCGGCCCTGCTCATCCCCCACACAGAGAGCGCACAGCGAGGATGGGTAGTTCTTGGGGTTGTTCACAGGCACACAGCTGGCGCTGAAGAACTCACTCACCGCTGAGGTGGAGGGGAAGGGCTGTGTTAAGGGGCTGGCAGCAGAAAGGGCAGCCAGGGAGGAGATGCGTGGGCTGCTCCCCTACGGATCTGCCCACTGCCTGGCTCTATGGCTCAAGGCCACCCCTCTGCTCCACTGTCCATCCCGCTCAGAGTGGCACGTCTCCTCCTGTGAGGATCACAGGGATGGGGGGAATGCAGAGGTTGTCTAGATATAGGAACCCCACTGACAACCTCTGGTAAGTGTTCTCCCAGCCTTGCCTTGAACTCCCTCAGGGACGGGGAACTCACTACTTCATAAACTCTTTTGTTCCAGTCAGGGTAACTGCCCAGCTGTCTGGAAGTGAGAGCAGCCAACCCTAACACCTTACATGTGCTCGTGTAGGTGGTTAGAAAAAATGTGTTTTTTTCTTCCTGAGGTGCCAGCCAGGACAGCGGTGTGTGTGCAGCCTTCCTTTCACCATGAATGTGCATGATTTAACACCCAGAGATGGCCCTGCTATGGCATATGGTGGGTGCTTGGTAAACGTGTCTTCTTCAGCACTTATACAGAGGGCTGGCCTCTTTCCAGCAAGTTCCCCCAGATATCCAGTATCTGGATACTGTCCATGCCTGGACAGTGATACCGCTAGGCCCAGAGCCAATGCACTTGCCTTGCTCCCTGTGCCCACTGGAACTATTCCACTCTCAGTGAGTGGGCAGGGACACTGGCAGCCTCCACAGAACCAGACACCCCTGACTGTCACGATTGTGGCCAAGAATACTCCCTAACCTTCCCAAGAGTAAGAGACATGTGAAGGAGGAAGAGGAAACCTCTCTGGGGCTGCCTTCTGTCGGGTCCTGCTAGGAGAGGACCCCAACCCTCAGAGCTGGCCCTGACCCCAGCCAACCCCAAAGAAGTTTGCACATCTGTGTGTCTGTGGAGGGTGTACCTGTGAGGACGTCACAGTGCCTGGGCCGGATGAAGCCTTTCTGCACGAGGGCGCCCACGGGGATGTCCCAGCCAGTGGGGTTGCCGAAGGCCGGGTGGCAGGAGCGCTTGCCCCGCAGCTCGTCCAGCGTGAAGGCGTAGGAGCTGTTCCGCTTCACCACGGCCACCACGAAGTACGAGTTGCTCCTGTCTTCCGCTGGGGGAGGGGACACCAGTGAGGCCCCTCATCTGTGCTCGCCTGGCCTTGGTAGGGCAAGAGCCAGGGCCAGATCCTGACGGAGCCCTTCTTCCCTCAAATCTGTTCTCTCCTGTTGCTGGTCAGTGCTGTGGTCCTGGTCCTGACAGTGTCGGCCCTGGCTGCCGGGGCTCAGGAGCACCCGGGTCCGAGGGCTGGGTAGGTGTTTAGCAGGCACATCCAGCAGCAGGACCCCTACATGTCCCCACATTGCAGATAAGCAGCCTGTGGGGCTCCACTTTTCAGCATTCTGTGTCTCACCACCACCCTCCAACAGTCCTCACCCAGAGGGATTTCTTCCCTTACAATCAGGTGGTATTTTTCTCACCTCCTGGGAAAGCAGTGGAGGCACAGCTGAGGCTGCAGAAGCACTTTCCCTAAGTGGAGAGAGTTTTCACATCCAAGTGGAGGGAACCTGAGGTCACCACTCAAGAGGACAGAGCACCAAGCCACTGGCCCAGGCTGCTGGGAAGGTGTGCATGAACTGACAGGAAGGAGGGTACCAGGGACACCTTCCATGAGCCACACGGGTGGGATGGAGGAGGCCGAGGAGGCTCCCTAATCCAGGGCTCAGCTAACAACTTTAGCCTGTTTTTGTACAGCCTGGGTTGCAAGCTAAAAATAATTTTTATATTTTCAAAGTGTTGCTAAGAAAAAAGAAGAAAGAACAACATGCAGCAGAATCTGTATGTGGCCTGTAAAACCTGAAGTGTTTACTCTCTGACCCTTTGCAGAAAGTTTGCCAAACTTTCCGGTGACTGGGTGTGCACATTGTGAGTGGAGGGGTTTGCCTGTGACAGACACCAAGGGAGAGAGACTCTGAGGGAGAAGTTTTTATAAATATAAAAATATCAACCACCTCCCAGCGAGACCAGGCGGCGGGCACCTGCACTCACGGGCATAGTGCTCCCCGGCTGCCGGAATCAGGCCGTACGTCTTCCCCGCTGTGTAGATGTCCTCGCCCCTCAGGGTCACAGCGTCAATTTGGCCAGCCTGCAGGGGGACAGAAAGAGCAGTTGGGCTAGAGAGGGCCCCAGGCTGGTTCTGGGTTTTGGGATATGACAGAGGTCCCAAGGCAGGGTCTCTCAGGGACTTTGGCCTCAGGCTCCCTTCCAGTGGGAACCCCATCCTACCCCATCTGCTCCTTTCTCTCCTTGCGAAGATGTGTAGGCAAGAGAAGTGCTTGGAGGAACACAGACTTGAAACAAACCACCATCAGCACTCCCATTCATAGGTGTCTTTCAATCTTTCAACAAATGTTTTCTGAAGGTCTCCTGTTGCCAGGCCCTGTTCTGGGCAGAACCCAGAATGGGGCCTGCTCTAGTTCTCGGTGTGGGTCTCCCCATGGACTGCCAGCCTCAGAGGTCTTGGGCACTGTACTGCACCCCTACACCTGGCCAAGGGCTGGCACACATCATGGATACAATACATATTTCTCAAATGTGTGTGTGGATGGATGAAGAGCCGGGTCTGAGAAGGTGGCAGTCTCCGGGTCTGTGGGAGGAGGTTCCAGGGCTAATGGACGAAGTCCTGCCTCAGGAGGCAGCAGGAGATGCCCAGAATCCTCTTCCTTCAGACCCTCTAGAGCCTTCCAGGTCACCTGCACTCCACCCCTACTTGTCCATTCTGAAGCCTCTGGACAGGTAGCCCCACGGACCCTGTAAAAAGGTTAACTGATAATCTAGCCGTAGTAGTATGACAAACCCCAAGGGAAGGAGGTAGGGCCTGGGGAGAGAGGAGACACTTGTACCCCAGGAAAGTGCCCCACACCATTCAGGGCCAGAGGCATGAAGTTCTGATGACAGAATACTAGGCAGTGGCCCTGATGTTTTGAGCCTCGAGGTTATGTCTCTGGAGGCCTTCCCTCCTACGCACTGTGATGTCAGGGAAGAACTCACACTTTGGACCCACAACCCAGGGGCTGAGCCAGATGATCCTCTTGCCTGGGTCACCGTGGCCAGGCACGAAACACGTTAGAGCTACACTGGACACCATCTCCAAGAGCCTTAAGAGTTAGAACTGAGGATCTCTGAGCCTTTTGCTGGGGTTCTCAAGAACCCTTGAAATCCACTTGTCTCCCCACAGGCCCTTGGCCAGCCCCTTGGCCCTCTGTGATGTGAGCTCAGATGGAGAGAAGGATCTTGCCCGGAGAGAGCTGAAACTTCACTCCCTGCATCTCTCCCTGCTCTGAGGCTCCTGGAACCAGCCACTCCTTCACAGGACAGCCTGCCCAGCATTAGGAAGTGAAGAGTTCCCACCCCTAAGTCTCCTTGATTCCAGCTGGACTCCTCCTCCCTCAGCACCATGAGGTTGAGACAGGCTCCCTGCCCCTTGAGCTGGGTGACCTTGGGCAAGTTATTCTTCATCCTCTCCTGGCCCCAGTTTCCACATCTGATAGTAATCATTCCCACCCCATAATGCTATTGTGTGGATTAACTAAGGTAACCCACGTGAAGGCTTAGCACAGTGTGAGGTACACAGGAAGTGTGTGCTTATGAGATCACGATCCTGGCCCCCTGTTATTCCTGTCCACTCACCTCAAGTTAGTGTGTTGCCTAGCTGGGGCAGGGTGGACATGTCTGAGGGGCTCTGGCTTGGTCTACACTAGGGGACTACCCTGAAAAAAGCTCCTCACCATCAGGCCCCAGCTAGTTGCTCTTAAAAAAAACAGAAGGGACACCTGTGACCACAGAAGGATGTCATCCTTGACTGCAGGGCCTTGGAGCTGGCTCCGAGTCCTGGCCTCAGTCTCTAGTTGGAGAAGCAAAACAGAACACAGCTGAACGGGCCTCAGAGCCCAGGGCCAGTGCTTTTAATTACAGGTGGCAGGCATATTAATGGATGCTTAATCAATTTAATGGTCCATGACAAGATTAAAAAAAAAAGAGACTAGGAGAGAATACAACAGAAATTATCAGCACACATTGTACTTAGTAAGGGTAAGTATTGTTTTGTTTTGTATCTCTACATAAGTGATAGATATTTTTACATATTTACATCTGAAAGAAAAGTTTTTGTGTACTAGGCTATAATTGATGTAAAATGTATTTTTGACTGGGTTGCAGTTTAATAAATGATGATCTGAGCCCACTCTCTATTGTGTACAGAGAAACTGAGACTGAGAAAGGGGAAGGGGCTTGCCCAAGGCCACAGGGTCATCAGTGCCAAGCTGCGTCAGTCTCACACTCCTTCTTCTTGGGGCCCACCTGCTCAGTGGGGAGGAGTCCCTGAGCTCCCTCAGGGGAAACAGACCCCCTCTGCCCTGCCCCCCCAGGCAGGGTAGCTCCTTCCTGCGGCAACTTCCTCCTTCCCTTTTTCTATGGGAATTGTCACAGGACACCTTCTCCTCCTCTGTATCCTCCAGACCAGGTGGACAGAGGGAGGGTCAGTAAGGACTATCACAGGCATTGCCCCACCTGCCCACCTGGCCCACTATGCCCCTCTGGAGTTGGCTCCCACCTGGATCTGCTCTATGCAGTGCTGGGGGGACTCAGCTGACACACACTGGATCTCCGGCTTGAGCCTCTGCCGGCTGAAGGCCACAGCCATGTCTCCACACTTCTGGATCTCAGGCGTGGACAGCACACACCAGCGCAGGTAGTGGGGCAGCCCTGTGTGGGTGTGAGCATGTGGTCACCTCCACATTGCCCTGCTTCAGGAGCTGTCCCTCAGCAGGAAGAGCTTGGAGTCAGACCCAAGGAAATTCTGGCCCATTCCCTGGTTATTTCACCGTCTGACCTTGTTTCCTTACACAGGAAGGGGACAAGCGACCTCTTTCACGGGGCTGTGAGGAGGCTGAAGGCAAATCATGGCGGTCATGTATCTAACTTAGATGTGGCACACCATTTTCCTGGCTGTAGGTGGAGGAATACGGAGGTTGGGGCTGGAGGCAGGTAGCCATTTGTAGACTCCTGTAAGGGTCCAGGGCAGAGAATGCCGGAGGCAAGGCCCTAGCCAAGCGGTGGGCAGGAGGAGCGAGGCATGGTGAGAAGAAGGAGGTGCGATGGGAGGAGCGAGGCCTTGTGGGAGGAGCGTGGCACGATGGGAGGAGCGAGGCCTTGTGGGAGGAGTGAGGCACAGTGATGGAGGATTACAGGGCTTGACAACTTCTGTGTGGAGCGGCGAGGAGACCCTTCCCAAGACAGACCTGGAGGGCCTGGATTTCACCCCCTGGAGCAGATGGGGCTTCCAGGGTACATACAGCAGGCTATGCAACTCCAGAGATGCTTACTCCCCAACCCCTAGAGGCAGGGAGGCGGGATCAACAGGTTCTCAGGGAGGCCAAGAGGCACACACACCTCCTGCAGTGAGTGTCCTTCTCTGGCCACCTCTCCAGAAAGGCTGGCCATGTCTACGGTCAGGCTGGGGCCAGTGGGAGAAGAGACAGGTGGACTTACGGTTGGGGTCACAGAGGAGACCCTTCATGGCATGCAGGTACTCGCGGCCCAGCCATGCCTCATAGGTCTGCGTGGCAATGGGCACCAGCTCGGAGGTGGCATCTTTGAACAGCAGGTTCTTCTGGCCATAGGCTTCAGAGCTGAACATTTGGAAGCTGCTGCCGTCATGGCTGAACAGAAGCTGTGTGTCAAAGGGTAGGGATGGGGCTGGTGAGATGCTGCCCAGGGGCATCCTTTCCTCCCAGTTCAGCCACCACTTCCTTCTTCTTGCGCCCTCAGGCTGTCACCCACTCTGAGGACCAGGTGAGGCTCCACCTCCCTCCTGGGTCCCCTGTGCTTCACCAGTGCATTCTGCTTTGTCACACTTAGCTGACTGAACACATGGCTCATGGCCCAGGTGTGTGATGGTACTGAGCACAAGCAACAGGGCTGAGCATTGGTGGTTCAGATGCGCAAAAGTAAAGCTGATGTGGCTCACAGTCAGAAACTTGCTGCTCTTGTAAGCAGTGGCTTCAGAAAAACATTATTTACCACATTTAATGGTGTACTTTGGCATTTATTGGTTTTGCCATTTTGTTTATTTGCTCATATGTTCTGGTTTTGGTTTTAAGAGCCACAAGTACCAGGAGCTTTCTTTGAGGGGTGCGTGAGTCCCCTGGTCTCCCCGCTCTGGCCAGTCCTCCTCACTGCCAGCCGGCATAGTTGGTCTCTGCTTCACACTCTTGGCCTGAGGTTGAACACCCCAGAGGCCTGGATACCCAGGGGAGGGTCTCTGGGTCCTGCCCCTCCTGGTCTGGCTGGCTAAGCCCCAGGAGGCTCTGGCTCTGAGCTTCCATACTGGTGAATGACAAGAAGGTCCAGCAACACCCCAGGAAGCTGTGTGGGGTGCCCTGAACTCACCTGGCCTTCATTGAGCAGCCGGAAGATGAGGCCCCCATCTGTGTCGGCCCGGACCACCACGGCATGAGCAGGCACCCGAGCCAGGTGGCATCGCCTCCATTCAGTGACATCAGCCCGGCTGCCATCCCGGCACAGCAGCTCGAAGTCTTTTGACAGCAGCACCTGGCCCCAGGAGGCAAGGGTTTTCCCTGGGAAGATGGGAATCCTGTGATGAGCCAACGCTTGTCCTGGGAGGGGTTTGGGGAGGGTGTCAGGGAAGGCCCTTGAGAGGGAGCCTGGGGAGAGCCTGAGGTGTTACGGGCATCAGACCCACAGTGAAAAGAAACTCTTATGGGAGGTGAGAATCAGAACCACGTCAGGAGGTGAGAACCAGAACTACACCAGGAAGTAAGAACCCAGAACCACACCAGCAGACAAGAACCAGAACCACACTGGTGGTTGCACCCTACAGTGTCTCTGTAGGTTGTGTCTGTTTACTTACGTTTTCTATTTCTCACCAATTTCTACTAATAAAATGGACTTGAGATATCTAACAATAATATAACATATAAACATAACTGCTCGTTAAAGATAAAAAGAGGAAGAAAGAGAAGCTTAGGATGAGAGAGAGGAATGTATCAGGAGTTCACCCCTGCCATCTGGCACTAAATTTAGCTCTGAGCAGAGGGCAGAGAACAGGGGGCCATGCTGAAAACAAACCCTGACAGAATCAACCAGAAGGTGGCACAGAGAGAAGAGAGTAAATCTCCAAAGCTTCACCCACAACTCCAGCTATTAATGCTTTGGTGTATTTCCTCCATGCCCTTTTTTTCCTTTTTTAATTTATTATTAAAAAAAGTTTTTTTTAATGGAGGTTCTGGGGATTGAACCCAGGACCTCATGCATGTGCTCTACCACTGAGCCACATCCCCCTCCTCCTCCATGTCCTTTTTTCTATTCTATTTTCTAACCATTTTTAATATGGTTAAGGACGTTCATGATAGGCAATTTTGCTTTTTCTTAACTGATTTAAAAATATTTTCCCACATTACTGGAAATTTTCTATAAAACTCATTTATGATAAAAAAATAAGATTTATTTGAAAGAGTGAATACTGACACCAAATAGGAATACTAAGGAGACTAATTTTAAGGACTGTAACTCATGCAATAAAATATACCACAGATGGTCCTACATAACAATATTTTAATGACTTTTAAATTTTAAAATGAGGAGGATAAACCTCTGCTAGAAAATAGGAGGGGAAAAGATCATTTGTGGGATCATGAACATTCTATTCGTTCCGAAGCTATTTAAAAACAAAACCCAAAAACCAAGAGAGTAATAGTTTGGAAAACTCCATAAAGGTCATTTTTAATGACTGCATGATAATTTATAGCATTCTCAACAATTACTCAGTGTCATTCTCTCCCCACTCCCCAACCTTCCTCTATTTTTAAACTGCTGTAAAGCCTTTGTATAGAACTCTGGGGGATCATTTGGCCTTCCCCTGAGACAAATGCATCATTTAGGTTTCAATCTGCCACTCCTGTTTTCCATCACTAGGGACAATTAAAGCCATATTACATCACTACTTTGCACATTTATGTCAATTCCATACTTTAGCTCTTACCAATCTTTTTGTAGGAAGATACTCTTTAAAAAATTACTTCATTAGATTTTTTTCAATTATCCATCAAAATTTTAAGAGCTGAATTTAACCCAATACATCCCTAATTCTTTCTCCACCTTCCAAATTCTGATTTGCTTGACTCATCTTGGGGCCCAAGTCTTGGCCATCTATTTTTATAAGATTGTCTGCTCTGGAGACAATCCTATGTCCTCCTTTTTCAGATCAGTTGTTTTCTCAAATCTAGTGCATGTTGTTTGCCTTCATGAATGCCAGGTTACATGGTGGACCTTCTGATTTAAAGGGAAAGATTGACAACAACAAAAAGAGATAATGATTTTAAAAAAATGATCAGACATTATAGAACAGGCAAAACTGGAGACAGAAGTCTGACTGTGGTCACCAGAGAGGGGGTCAGAAAGGACTGACCAGAATGGGGCATGAAGAAACTTTTGGGGTGAAAGGTCTGCTATGGTTACTGTCTCAATTGTGGTGGTGGTTATACAACTGCATGCTTTGGGCAAAACTCATAGAACAGCAGTTCGAAAGGAGTGGTTTTTGCCGTATATAAATTATACTTCAAAAAAAAAAAGATTCTTTGGCAAATCCTAATTAGTCTGTAAAATAACTGGCCTGACTCTTCAAAAATGTCAGTGTCAACAAAAACAAAGAAGATTGAGGGACTGTTCAAAGTTACAGGAAACTAAAGAGACAACAACTCGGATGAGGAAGAGGAATGTATCAGGAGTTCACCACTGCCATCTGGCACTAAATTTAGCTCTGAGCAGAGGACAGCGGTCAGGGGGCCATGGTGAAAACAAACCCTGACAGAATCAGCCAGAACGAAAGAAGAGAGTACATCCCCAAAGCTTCACCCATAACTCCAGCCATTAATATTTTGGTATATTTCCTCCATGTCCTTTTTTCTATTCTATTTTCTAACCATTTTTGCTACTCCCAGGCAAAAATGTGTGTTGATAGATCAGGTCTGGCCTGAACAAATTGCTACAAAGGACAGCACTGGGGAAATTAGTGAATCTGGAATATGGACTGTGGGTTAGATATTGTCGATGTTACATTTGATGAATTAGGAAACTGTACTGCGGTGAAGTCCACATCACTTTGTTAGTAGGAGACACACACTAAAGTCTTTTAAAGGGTGTGACGTGGACAAACATATTCTCAAATTGTTAGGAAAGACACACACGTAGAAAGAATGATCAATTCCATGTGGCAAACGCTAAAAGCTGGAATTGGGGTAACGAATAAATGGGAGTTCTTTGAATTATTCTTGCAACTTTTCTGAAGTTCATTATTTCAAAATCTACAAATTTATAAATGACAACAATATAATGGATCAGTCCCTAACACCAACCCATCTTTAGTAAGTCCTCGTCCAGGGATAAGGGGTGGCTTCTTCAGGAACAGGAGCAAATGCAGGGCGGAAGACAGATGAGAGCTTCTGCAGAGGTTTGCAAACTTTTTTTTAAAAGCAGAACCCAGTCTTCACATGGAAATGGAACCCAGTGCCAGATACATATCAGAGCAGGGGCAGGGCCGCTCACACCGCAGAGCCGCTGGGCTCCACCACCTCTTTCTTTCCTTCAGAGAACATTACCCGGCCTGAGACCTGGGGCCAGCCCCACCACTCACCGTCTGTGTTCTCCAGCACCGTGCTGTGCTTCACAAAGGCCACGTCCCCGGCCCCTTCCGCCAGGCACCTGCGCAGGAGGAACCAGTGAGCCTGGAGGTCTGGCCTGGACCCCGGGGCGTTACAGGCGGCACAGGGTTCACAGTCATGGAATCCTGGGTTCTAACTCCCCAGTTTGTTGCTGTGGAGCCTTCCCATCCTCTATCGCCTGTAAAGTGGGAGTGGGAAAGCAGCTCCCGGTAGGGAGACATCCTGTATAATCTGTGTAGATTCTGCACAGCAGGGCTCAGGGCCTGGAGGGAGCCGGTGCTCATACGGCGGTTGCTTCATCAGCACCCTTAACGCTTAGGGTGTTTTGAAGATGACTCTATCCTGCAGCACGGAGTTGGACTAGACCTTCTCATGGCACAGCAAAAACCTTTGTGAAAGGGACCAGGACTTTTAAGGATCCTCTGTCTGTGACTCCCAGTGAGGGAGGCAGTTCAGGGCAGAGGGGCAGCCTGGGTCCCCACAGCCAGCAAACAAGTGGGAATGGACTGGGGGGACGACACCAGTAGAGGCCGGGTGGGCGAGAGGACTGAGGACTGCTGTTCTGTCTGTGCCCCAGACTGCATTTCCCCAGATCACACCCTGCAGCGTGGGGCACCAGCACGCTCTCCGGTTCCAGGTGGAAACACTGCGGCCAGGGCGGTTAGAGGGACTCAGCCCCACCAAGCACGTTTCCTCCTCTGTGGACAGAAGGAAGGGCACCACCAGCCATAGTGGCTCTCTTGGCTCCATTCAGGGCTGATCTAAAGGGCCAGCCTGAACAGGGCAGAGAGAGGCCAGCCCTGACCGTCAAGCCTCTGGCCCACCCCAGTGCCCTCCCTGCTCTCACAGACACCAGAATGGAGAATGGGAGCGGCAACGGGCTGTTTTTGCCATTTTCTTCTCTCGGAGCCCTCACCTCTCTAAATATACCAAACATGTTGATTTTATGAGCAGATCCTGTCTGGCATATTCCAGTTTGAGGTTTTTAAACTAACCAGGCACATGAACTATATAAAGGGTGCTTTGATGAGCTGCAGCCAACACCACCACCCCTCCCAGGGGCCCTCTCAGTGCCGAGGTGTTTTTCCCCAGCTCTGCAGCCTTGACCGCGCCCCTCTCACCGGAAGGCCCCGCTGTAGTCATAGTATCTCTCCAGGGGGCTCTTGTCACACACCCCTTCCCCAGCGGCGTTGCCCCGGCAGAGGCGGCAGAGGGACTGGGAGTGACTGGTTTCTCCTGCCCCGGGGACACAGCTGCCCCCAAAATAGTCGCTGACAGCTGCAGAAAAAGGCAGAAGGAAGTCAAGTGCACAAGGTCGGGTCCCCTCCAGGTGCCCCGGGGAGGGCTCAGGCCACTCAGGCTGGAGTCAGGGGGCTGGGCTCCCCAGGGACTCAACTAAACTCTCCACGCTTCAGTCTGAGCAAAAACGGGGAACTGGATCTGATCAGTGATTCCCAAACTGGGGCCACAAAAGTGTGGGCCTTGAGAAAGACTGTTGTTATTTTAAAATGGCTCAGGGGAATGACACATTTACCCCAAAATGGCCACATAGGACAACTATGAACCAGATACTGTTCTCGGTGAAGGTTTCATTTCAAAATCAGTAATGTTAAATCAATGGAAGTGGGGAAATGATTACTTAAAGAGTATAACTAGTTTGACAGACGTCACTTCTCAAAACACAGGGAGGAGAGGGAAACCACTCTCTTGGCAAATATTTATCCTGTGCCCAAGGACACCTGAGTGCCACGTAGGGGGAGCTAGATGCTGGCCCTACTCCTAAGCCAGCTGCATCGTGCTCAGCTGAACAGCTCTTCCAGGGCTCCTTTCTTGGTCTTTTTGTATCCTCACAGGGCAGTAGATACTTGATAAATGTGCCAAGTGACTGAGAAATCTCACACACCTGGTTGCCATCTGAGAGGATATGGCTTCCAGGCTCTTGTGGGTGGTGCTGTATGGGGCAGAGTATCCATGTGGACGCGTGCATGCACATGGGGATAGCATGCATGTGGTTACACCGCAGTGAGGTGCCCACCAAGAGAGATGGAAGTTGAGCTCATAATAGCCACCACTTCCTGCAGTGAGCACACACCTGGTGCCATGCATTGTACACGGACGTTGTGTGAATTATCTCAGTCCTCCCAGTGCCACAGCAGTGTAGTCAGTGTTAATTTCCCCGTGTTACAGAGGAGGAAACTGAAGTTTAATGTGTAGAGTAATCTATCTGAGGGCAGGTCATACTGAGCCTGGGTTTAAACCCACATGTATCCACAGCAAAGCCTGCTCGGGGAGCAGACCAGAAGGCAGCACACTCAGGGACAGGGGATTTGGGGATACCCCAAACCCTATTCGAGGTGTGGTATGATCCCAAGAGGGCAGTTCGAGAATGTGGTTGGCATGTGTCAGGGACCTCCTCAGACTAACACAGCTGGGTGGCCAGCGGGTGACTGGAAAAAGAAGGCCAGAGCATGAGAAGCAATGCTTCTGCCCAGGCTGCCAGAACAAGGGCCCCTGGCCAGGCCCCTTCGGTCCTGAAAAAACAGTTTCTGACCCTGTAAAGCCAAGGACACATTTCTAAAAATAGCAACCTATACTGCGTCTATACCAGGTGAGAGGCGCCTCCCAGCTGTGGGTGGGCCCTGGGCTTGGCTGTGCTGTGAGGCCCTGGGATGAGTGAGGGAGGGTTGAGTGCCTAGAGGAGCCAACCAACTAGAAATGTAAATGGTGGCAACAGCTCGGCAGGAGGGAGTGATGCCATCCCAGAGGCCTCCGGGAGGGCCCCGGGGGTAGGTGGGACTGTGCTGTTCCTTACAGGAGGCTCAAGATGAAGGGGAGCCCTGAGGGTGGCTCAAGAAGGAGGGGAAATGCAGAGTCCCTGCAGGAGAAGCCCTGAGAGGCCAAAGCCCTCACCTTTGAGCACGTCACAGCCCATCACTGAGAGGCGGCCGCTGTCTACCAGGTAGCCCACGGGCACATTCCAGCCCACCGTCCGGTTGATGCCTGTGTGGCAGGACTTCACACCTTTCAGGGTGTTGATGGTCACGTGGGAGCCCCTCTTGACCACAGCGACGGCATAATAGGAGGTACCGACCTCTAGAAGGAAGGGAGAGGAGTGGAGTGAGGGGGGCAAAGGAGAAGCCACAAGAGAGGCTTGGGACCCTGCTGGGGAAGGCGGTGGGAGAAAGGAGTGCGTGTGTGTGTGTGTGTGTGTGTGTGCGCGCGTGTGCGCGCGCACATGTGCACACCTGTGCATGGATGCATGTGCGTACTTGGGTTCATGTGTGCCTGGTGTTCTAGTTACTGAGAGAGCAAATGGGTGTGATCCACACGTCTTATCACAAGACCCTGCCCCCTCCAGCCTTACGTGATAGATATTATGCTGAGGTGTTCATTCATTCACTCATTTCTCCCTTTTCCTTCCCAAGCCAGCTCGCACTCAGCTGGGTCTACACTTGCACCTGTCAAGGGAACTCTGTAGCCAGACCAAAGCAGAAGTAGCTGGCAAGTCTTTTGTTTTCCAAAAGGATAGGCCCTTAGGAGAACTTAGAGGATTTGAGGGAATAGTACTGTGTTATGGAAGAAGAGTGGTTGAGAGGAGGTGGGGAGCAGGGCAGGGGCTTCCTCCATATTAGAAAAAGTGATTTCTCAGTGTTGGAGCAGGAGTGGAGGAGTAGAGCTAGAGAAGGAGACAGAGAGAGCGAGAAATACTAGCAATGTGGTCCCAAATCACTCAGACCTTGAATGGGGTGCATGTGGGTAGGTGGGGGTCTACAGCCTTGCAAAAGATTCCGCTGGTCCAGATGTTGCCTGGAAGGGGCCGTCAGATAAGACCCGGGTGACTCATCTATGGGGACTGATGACCAGAGGGCAACTTATCACACACACAGACGTGCACACGACTACCTGGTGGCTGTGAGATGCCTATGACCAGAACAAAGCTGAGTTCTAGAAAACCAAGCCAGTGTTTCTTGCACACCTGAGCCTGGCCTCTGCCAACCTAAGCAGCCCCGTCTGGTTCCACCCTCTGCCTCGCCATCGTGCCTTTTCTTTCTAGCTCCTCGAACACACCAACCTCTTACCTGGGACCCTTCTCAGAGCACAATTTAAATGTTGCCTCTCCAGAGAAGCCCTCCTGTCTGCTCTGTTTCAGCAGGTCTCCCACACTCCGTATCTCTTCCCTCATGGCCTTTACTTCCTTCACGACACCCAGCACATTAGTGACTACAGTTTTGGGTGTTTGTTTGTTTACTATGTAACTCCTGCTCTCTGAGGGCAGGAACAGGTTCTCTCGCTTTCTGCTCTGTGCTCTTGACTGGCACACAGCAGGTGCTCAATGAGTGTGTTAAATCAATTAAAGAGGAAGAGCTGTTTCTGGGGCCCACAAGGCAGGGCTGTTCCTGGTCATTGAGTGAAAAGGCTGGCTGGCTTGCAGGGTTGGACTGTGTCCTGTGTCATCTGACTGCCATCAGTTCAACAAGCGACCAAGTGAGACCCTGTGCTGGGTCCCTGGCACTGAGAGTCTGCAAAGATGAGGACCAGGTCTGCCTCAGGGGACTCACTGTGGTGAGGACAAAGAAAACAGAGGGGACAGGACCTTGTGGAGTGAGTCATTTCTCTGGAAAGCAGGAAACAGAGGCCCTTTGCAGCAGTGGGAGGGCCCAGCGGAGCTGCTGGGAGGTGACAGCTGAGCTGGGCTGTGACAGGTGCTAGGCATTGGACAAGTAGAGGTGCTGGGGGAGAGCCAAAGGGCAGGCTGGGCCAGAGGCATGCCTGGTGTGAGGTGCAGGACCGGGGCAAAGCACATTCCATGTGTCAGGTGTGCACGGACCGGCTCCTTTAATCTGTGTGAAGGGGCAGGGATCACTATCCCGATTTTATGGTCAAGGAAGTGGAGGTTGTCCAAGGTCACGGAAGATGACAGGAAGGGGCAGAACTGGGATTCCTTCTCGGTCTGTTGGGCTGTGCAGCTCCTACTCACCACTTCTTGCCCGGCCCCATCCCCACTCCATGCTGCCTCTGACAGAGGGCCACGGAAGTACCCGGATAGCTGGGCATTACTGATGCCTTGTTCACCCCAGCAGTCGTGCCCAGCACTACAAGACGCTCGGTGGGAGCTGCTGGATGACAGCTAGGGGCTGCTGGGCTCCCCACGAGGAAGAGCAGACTGCGGTCAGCCCTCTGTGTCTCCGGCACCCCTGGCTCTCTGCGGGGGTATCAGGTGAGACGTAGGGGGCTCTGAGGACCTGTTTGGTTGGGGCTCCAGGATGCTCTGAGGACAGGACTACTGACCAGCCTGGGGGTTGCAGGGTCGGGCCAGGCCCAGCAAGGACACTGCTGAGCGACCTCCTCTCTCCTTCCACCCCAACTCCCACTCGGCCCCCTGACCTTGATCATACACTTCGCCCACCACAGGCTTCAGGCCGTGCTCCTTCCCCGCCTCGTAAATGGCTCCTCCATCCAGAGTGATGGCGTCAGCCTCCTGGGCCTGCTGGGAACATGTGGGTCAGCACAGTCCGGCCCCAGGACCCACTCAGCCAGGAGCTCAGAGACACCAACCAGTCTTCTGAGGGCCCCTTGAAAAGCCCTGGAGGTCCACGTGGTCCTCTTCGTCTGGCCCGGGAGCCCCGTCCTAGCTCAGCCTCGCAGGCCCCTCCCCTGCCAAGGCCTATAGGTCTCCCCTGACCAGGACCAAGACTTGCCTTGTTTTTCGAATTATGTTATTTAAAAAATATTAGTAATTTTATAGGACTCATAATAGCTATACATAGTTTTAAAAAATCAGCACAAAACGGAAAGTCTCCCTGACTTTCTTGTTTCTCAGCCCCCTGCCTATACTGCTAACCTGTTCCTCAGCTTTTCTCTTTAAGATGCAGACTAAATCCTACAAATGCCTTTGTCAATGTTTTCCTTTTTGTTTTAAAACACAAATGGGGTCCATGGATAAAACGATATTTCAACATAGTTGGTTTCCACCCTCACAGTGGACCCTGGCCCAAGCCCTTGGCCACACGGACTCTGGATTAGCTCTTGGGGGCACATCAGGGGCTGCACTGAAATGAAAACCCAGGTCCCCTTGCGCCTGACACTTCCCTCTATGCCTTGTCTTATATTGGAGTCCTGCCTCTTAATGTCGTCAGTGCCAGTTTAGCAGATCTCAGCCTCTCAGAACAGCTCTCCCACCCACACTCACCCACCCAGGACCGCTGGCCCAGCTCTTCCTGCCCCAGAAACCACACAAGCCCCGTTCTGGAAAACTCCAGGGCAGAGTGAGTAACCACCATGGGCCACTGAGGGGTCTGCTGTCTGTGCTCCCCTGGGTGGGGCAGGTCATGTCCCCCACGTAGAGGGCCTCTGTGTAAGGAAACTGCCTCTCAGTCACCTTTCCCCACTGGCGTCCTGAGCAGGGCCGTCCCTGGGCCTCCCAGCGCCTGGCCCCCGCCTGGGTAGGAAAAAAGCTGGCCCTTGTTGCCAAGGAAACTCAGGAGATCCTATCACCAGGCCCTGGCAGGGGGACCTCGGAGCCTCTCCCAGTGAATGAGGCTGTTGTGCGCTCCCTCCTGAGTCAGAGCCCTCTTGTCTGGGCAGAGCGGAAGGGAGAGGACTCACCGAGATGAGCTGGATGCAGTGGTCGGCTGAGGTTCCCTGGACGCACAGGAGGGAGGGCTGGATGCCGGCTTCCTGGAAGGCCTTGCTCATGTCACTGCATTTCTGCTGCTCTGGGTCTGAGATGGTGCACCACCGCACCTCCATCCCGCCAAGCACTGGGGACAGGGGACAGTGAGGCCCAGCTCCTTCAGCCCCAGTCCACTGTGTGACCCATCAGCACGTATAGCCAGTTCTCTGCAACAGCTCTGCCCTCTCACTAGGAGGTACTGGGGCACAAAGAGGTGTCACGGACTGGCTCACCAGCAAAGCTGTGTGTGGACCATGTATTCCCTGCCCTTCCGAGGGGCAGAAGGTGTGGCTCAGAGCTTGGCCCTCAGGGAGGGTCTTCCAGCTTAGCAGCTAAACTTCCCCCATCCCTCCCTGGCCTGGAGCACAGCCTGGTGGGTGGAAGGAGCACTGGCTGACTCTGTGACTAGGCAAATTCCTGCCCCTCTTGGGTCTTTGTGTCCTCCAACAAGAAAGTGCTGGACTGAGTTCTCTCACTCAGTGGTGCCCCTGGGCCCTCCCCATGAACTGGGACATGAGACTGGGAAGTGGTTATGTCTGCCCTTGAGGAGCCTGGCACCCTTTGGAGTATCTGTGATTACGCCCCCTGCAGACCCACCCTCTGTGGACACAGTGCCAGGCCCCTGACAAGGGGAGGTGGAGGAGTCAGCTGGTTGGGTTCAACTTCCTGCTCCTTTGGCTGGTGACTTCAGGCAACTTACTGACCTCTCTGAGCCTGTGCAGATGAGAAAACCACCTTCTGCATTGTAAGTAAACCTCTGGAGGAGTTAGGACACAAGGTACTCAGTGATGGGGACCCTATTGGGGTCACATGATCTGACCAGGTCAGAGTCCCAGAGAGTTCTCAGCCTGGAGGCCCAGCAGAAGTGGTAAGGATTTTCTGAGTTTGCTGCCTTTGCAGACCTGAGCTCTTCCATCACTCACCCTGCCCAGCCAGCCCTGCCAGGGAGGCCTGTGCTCTTGGGAAACGTGTGGCTTTGGGCCCAGTTTCCGCCAACTAGGGGCCAGGTAACCCTCTCAAGGCAGCCTGTGCTTCCCATCCCCATCCCAATGGTCAAGAACAGCCTCCCTCCCGTCCGCTTTGCCTCCCCCAACTCCGGGGGCACCCTGGAACGTGGAAGTGCCCTCGCCCTCTCCAGTGCTCCAAGACTGCACCCTGGTAGGCCTGGCAACTGCTGGGTTCAGACCGGGGTGGCGGATCCATTCTTTTGTATTGATGAGGTCAGAGCGGTGGCACGAAGCCATCCTTTCAGCGGCCTCTGCCCTCGATCCCTAAGAGCAGCTCCCCGAGGTCCCGCCTCAAGTCGCAGCGTCCGGGGCCCTGACTTCCGTACGAGCGGCGGGTGCTGATGCGAGGAGACTCAGTCTGCGCCCCATCCTCTATCCAAGCACGGCGTCCCGGAGCGGCCTCCCGGGCCGAATCTTTCGCCTCCTCCCCTCCAGTCTCTCCAGATCTTTTCCCGCCTCCCTCCCCGCAGAGGCTCGGGAGAAGTAGAGCCGCTCTGGCTCCCAAACCTTCCTCGGGCTTCCACGCCCATTAAGAGCGTTTACCCTTCCCGGACCTCCCCCCGCTCCCCCGCCCCCTCCCCCATCGCCCCCCCTCCCCTCGTCACTCCAAGGCTCTCCCCTCCACGCTTCTGCCCGCGCCTCTACTTGGCGGGTCAGAAGGTAGGTTTTCTCAAGGTGCAGCTCAATGCCGCTTCCTCCAAGAAGCCCTCCAGACACACAGGTCTGCCAGGGTCAGTGCTATTTCCCTCCCCCGTCCTTCTTCGCGCCTCGCGCCTCGCGCCTTTCTGCGCCTTCCCCCTTTCCTGGGAGACGCAGGCTCAGGACACACTTCCCCGCCCCCTGGGACCCCGCTCGGGAGGCGGGAGAGCTCCTGCTTCCAGGGCTGGGCGGCGGGGCCTCACCAGTGCGCAGAGCCAGGAAGAGCCACAGAGCCGCGCTGGGGCCCCGCATGGCGCAGTCTATAGCTAGCTGGGGCCGGGATGGGCTCGGGTTGGGTCTAGGTCTGGGTCCAAGTGCGTCAGCAGCAGCCGGGGCTTTCTCTCTCCTTCCTGCCTGGCACTGGCTTTTAGCTACTTAAGTGCTGCCAGGGCGCGCCTTGGCGGTGTCCACGCCCCTAGGGTGCACCCGCCCACCGCGGACTGGACACCTGGGCTTGATCAGACTGCCCTTGGCCTTCTCTTTGGCGCCCCCCGCTGGAGCCTCTGCCGGCGCGGGGCAGGGGGCCGAGTCTAACCTTAGGTCTCTTGATCCCGACACATAGTCCTGAATGCGCACGCTCAGCTACTGAGCGTCAGGTGCCGGGTCTCTGGGGCCTGATTCCCCCAGCCCACGGGTTTTCCAAGGTTCTCGCCCCTCAACAATCTGCCCCGCATTCCACAGCATCCTCCCCTCTTCTTGTCTTAGAAAGATCCCAAATATCATGTCCGACTGGAAAGGGGAAATGTTCGGATTTGGAAGGAAGAAGTCAGAATCCTAGGGCCTGAGCAGGAAGGAAGCTCGAAGGCAATTGAATTCGTTCACCAGCATCTCTTCAAGCAAATATTGCATAAAGGATCTGGGGCTACAAAGATGAACCCAGGTTGATGTGGTCCTGGCTGGGGAGGAGCTGGCAGTGAGGGTCTCTCACTGCCCCTTCTTGGCCCTAGAGAGGGAAAGTGACCTGCCTTGGGTCACACATTTAGTCAGTAACAGTGCTGGACCTAAAACCCAGGTGTCTGGCAGAGCTTGGCTCATTCCATCATACTTTGGAAGACGGGAAGGAGACCAAAGATGGGGAGGAAGAGGAAGCAGAAAATGACAAAGAGAGGGATGAGAGGAGGAAAAGAGTGAAGAAGATGAGGGATGAAAGGGTTTTCTACTTGTCTAGGCCAGAGAGTCTCAAAGTGTGGTCCCCAAATGAGCAGCATCAGTATCACCTGGAACTTGTCAGATATGCAGATTCTTAGGCCCATGTCCAACCTACTGAGTCAAAAATTCTAGGGGTAGACAATCAACAATCTATTTTTGATTCTGGTGCATGGCAGGATTTGAGAAAGCACCACTCTAGAAGACCAGAACTGCAGTTCTCTATGTATACTGTGGCTGTGGGGAATGGACTGCAGAAACTGTTACTCAGTGATCCAGCTCCATCAATGTCCTAATCTTTTGTCATCACCCTCCTTCCCCATGAGTACCTGGGAATGAGATCCTCCCTGTTTGGCTAGAGAATGTGTAATAAGAACACTGAGTGAGAGACAGAGGACCCCTGGGTCTGAGTTTGTCAGTCCTTGAGCCTGCTCTGTTCCCTGGGGAAGGAAGCCCTGCTCCTCCGATTGGGCTATGAACCTGTTGCTTATCAGACAAGATGATCAATGGAAGTTCCATGGGCTTCAGGAGACCTGAGCTGTACTCTTTTGTTATCATTGACTCCCTGTGTGACCTCAGGCAAGTTTCGCTCTCCTCTCTGGACTTCAGTTTCCGTTGTAAAAGGCAGATCATGGTGGCTCTGATATGCCATTCTTCTTCCCTCAGTTGCTATCTGCTCTGGAGAATATCAGGGGGACTTGTCTGGTAGAAGCTGTTTTTTCATCCCCAACTGGATCCATGGAGGAGGGGGCACCTCTGTAATTCACACAAATAGACTAGCAGGTGGCCCTGGCAGAGGGGCTATGGCTTGAACTAAGGGGATGGAATAAATAAGTGTCCTTAGCAAGCCTCACCCTGTGAGGATGAACAGGCTCACTCTGTCACATTCTAGGAGCAACCAGAAGTTATTGGCAGAATTTGTGTTCATTAAGTCATTCCTTTAGTGAAACTCCAGGTGACACTGATAAGGTATCAATCAGCTACAAGCTAAGGGCTTGGGTGAGCTCATTCACAGTGGATCCTTTCCTAGTCTCTCAGGAGTCATTCCTCAACTGTGACTCATAAGGGACCTCGCTGTTGCTGGGCTCCGGGGGCTTCTACATCAGACCCATTTGCCTGGCCTTAGCATAGACATAGCTTTGTATTGATACCTGTGTGTAATGGGGAACTCTGCCTCAGCTTGAGCCTTGATCTTCCTGTTTCTGGGGTGCAGACATACCTGGGTGTATCAGAGGAATGGGTGGGATGCAATGAGGGAATAATGAGACAGTAATTTAACACAGGAATAGCCTTACAGAGGAGCAGAAGCACTGAGGACCGTTTGATTCCCATTCTGGATTCATACTGAAGTTAGAGGGAGGGTATGAAATATGAGAGCTGGCTTCACTAATAATTCTGTAAGGTGTTGGGCTGAAGAAACACTGCTTTGGGACCCCCTGACCCTATTCCATAATACGAACTACAGAGAGCCTTTCTCTGCCAGAAACACAGTCCTGGTTCTCCAAGGATTCAGGAGCTTGCTTGTCATGCAATTGATGGAGAGTAGGAGACGCTATCTAAATATAGCCTCCGGGGACTCAGAAAGAAGAGGGTGATGGGGAGCAGAGAACCTGTATTGGCAGATGGGGGCTAATGATCCAACAAAACAGATGAACAATTCTTTTACCTAAAATCTTAGGAAAATTCATATTTTTATTCATTTCAACAAACAAGCCATAATTTGTATCTTTCTATTTCTATGGGCTGTCATGTCTATGACTAATGAAAAGTCCAATTTTATTCTGGGGGACACTTGGAAGGGCTGGTGTGCACAGAGTAATCAGGAATGGTGAATATTTGCAGCAGTAAAAGTGTTATCAAAGGACTTTGCATTCTTACTCCTGAAGTCACTTCCTGAGTATTTGCTGTTTAATACATCTGAATTTGTTTGTTGAGATCAATGGTAGACATATTGAACAAGTTTTGTGAATAAAAGCCTCTTTAAAACTATTTTTCCAATGAAACTGGACTTAGGGGAAGCCATGTATATTAGGGCTACATAATATTCTATGTGTAAGCTTTTCAAAGGCAGATTCTCTGTACTCATCACAGGGCCTTGGACAAGGAGGATGATTTCTAAGTGTGAACTATTAGGTTTCACGATGTTACCATCGTTAAGGTGTCTCATATTGGTGAGAGGGGATGCTGAGAAGAGCCACAGAATTTGGGGACTGGGAGTCCCCCAGAAGCTTTGAGCCGTTTCAGTGTCGTGGCAAGGGCTGAGGCTTGACCAGGAGGCTGAACTCCACAGGGCTGGTGTGACATCTTGGCTGCCACCATTCCCAATGTCTAGCATCGTGTCTGGAGTAAGTGGGCACTCAATGAATATTATTATAAGTGAAAAGTAGACAGTGTGTCTCTTTCAAGATATCTGACTAAGAAAGGAGGAGATTTGGGGCTAAGGGAAAGTTTTTACAGGATAGGAGAGATTTGATCATATAGTTAGAGCACAAGTAGCCCACCTAACAAAAAGAAGGTAATTGAAGAAGATGTGAGGAATAAGAGCAGAAGGACCAGCAGAGGGTGATCTTGAAAGGAAAAGAGAAAATTCTTCTTCCTTGAAGATGGGTAAGAAGAGGGGTGGGAAACGTTCCAACTCAGTCAGACCTGCATTCAAGGGTAAGTCTCTCCTCCTGGAGCTCAGTTTACTGGTAACCAATCCACAAAAGTTTTTTCCCCCCTGAAGATTCTCCCTGCAATCCAGACTTTAAAATTCAGAAGATTAAAAGTCTTCAAGATTAACTTGAAGATAGGGTTTTAAAGCCATTAATAAATCTCCATCTATTTCATTCATATAAGATTTAATCTGAGTGGAAATTAGTGTAAAGGAGGCCAAAGAGTAAAGAAGTACAATCAAGAATACTATATTTGGCTCTATCACTAAGACTTTCAGAGAAATTATTCATATCCCAGCTACTTCCGAGGAGGGTTTCAGATGACTTATAATGAAAACATATGTACAAGGAAGATAAAATTGATATAAAAAGAAAAAAGTCACAAAGCATGTTCAGGAAGGAAGATTATTATACTAGGAAACAGAAAGAAAGGACTGTAATTAAAAATTTTAGCTAATTTAGAGATTTATAGTCAGAACTTTTTATGTACTCCCAGCCCCTTCTCCATGCCCCCAACTCTACTAGCTTGTAAATAAAGCCATTGACCTTCAAACTTATACAAGACTGTTTTCATCCCATTAAAAACCACAGCAGTGAAGATGACCATGCTGTATGGAGACCTGCAGGTAGAAGAGTGCTCTCATCACCTGCCATGGGCACTTCACTGGGGCAGAGGAATACAAGGAGAAGGCCACCTAATCTGTAAAGGCAGCACATGCTCAGTATTAAGTGGATACCCAGTAAGCACTGCAGGAATTCAGGCACCAAGAGCTATAACTGGGAAGGCTCCTGCAGGAGGGAATAAGGGTGGTCCTTGAAGAAATGTAGAGCCTTGATAAGAGGACTTGGGTAAGGGGGACAGCAGTTAGTACAGTAGGAATTTGCATGACCACCAGCCACAAGACAAGCCCTACAGGGGGTGTGTGAAAAAGAAGGATGGCTGGGGACGTAGGTGATGGTAGGTGATTTGTTAACCACATATTCCGGGAACTGTACTATACAGGTAAGTTGATTAGTTTGGATTTAGAACTCATGAAGGTCACTGAGGAGAGGAGTCACACAATTCAGGTTGCATTTGAGGAAAAGTCATCTGATGGATGACTGGATAACAAGGAAGCAATCAGAGGTTGGGAGATGGTTTAAGGGGCCACTGCAATAATCCAGGCCTAGGGGTGAGGGTGGGTTAAGGACCTGGATTAGAGTGACGACAACAGAAATAATAGCAAGAAAGATACGATGTTAAGGAATAATCAACAGTATCTAGTGACTAGATATTTGAGGAAGAGAAATGTCAAGTAGCACTAAGGTTAAAAACTTAAGTGATGGAGAGAATATTCTATTAAGTACAACTATTATTAGCCATAGGTAGAAAAAGTTAGGTTAATAAAGCTTTTTCCTAATGAGGAAGTAGTGAGGAATGTCAGATAAACCAGATCTGAACAAAGCACTAAACTTTCAGAGAAAGAAATGGATCTATCATTAAGAGATAGCTTTCCTAGTCTTAAACACCACTAGGAAAGTAGATATTTTTGATCAAATGACTCTCACAAGATTTAGAAAATCTTTTTGTAGAGATTTATCGTGTGGAACATATGGGACTTTCCTCTTGTTTTTAGTTCTTCCATCTGTGAGGTAAATGAACCCAATTTTAGACATCCTCAAGAAAGATTACATCACTGGTTCTAATCTTTCCTTCCACCAGAAAATTCACTATATCTTGTTTCACATGCTAGTTGCTTTTTGCACTAACTTCTATATAATTAAAAAAAATTATTCTACTGTAGTTAAGAACTGTCCAAATGAAATTTGTCATCAACAGCTGATTAGCAGAAGTAGGGATGATTACATGTTGGACTACTTTATTCCTACCTTGGGTAAACACCAGGTAGTTCCTAAGGTTTACCCTAGAACCAGTTTAAAAGAATGACCAGTTTAAAGGATTTTTTTAAAACACACTTGTGAGAAATCAAGTCATATCGTGGTAAGAATGGAAAAGATCTGCAAGGCTGAGTGTGCTATGTGCATGCAAAAAGGTTGAGAGTCAAACCAATTAATCAGGGGGCCAGCTCTGGTTCAAAGATTGGAATCTAAGTACACTACACTAGAATTAGATTTCTGCTAATTACATATTAGCCATATTTAATAAGATGCAGAGAGGTTATCACCTAAAGAAAATTGGTAGTTAATAATTTTAAAAAACAAACCACAGTCCTTTGATGTTCAATGAACTAGATTTTCCTAAAAGATTAGGGCTGTCTCCATGGTCTGTTTTCTAAATTACAAGGCTATCAGACGATTTCACATTTGACAAATAGCTGTTTTCATTTTTTGCTCAGATTACTTTCTCCTCATTTACTACTATCCTAAACAGACTATACTTCCCTTAGGACACTTGCAATGAGAATCTGGCACATCCAGCTACTGAATCATCTGAGTGTTATTCCTAGGAATTTGAAATTCTACAAATTCTGAACTGTTTATTCTAGCAGTCTCCTACATTAGGCGTAAGTCTGTTTTGTAAACAGCCTCCTAGGATCTATTATTCTGCATTTAAAGTTTGTTTTAGGATGATAGGCTCCTGTGCAACTACCATGACGGTGCTCACGGTGGAGATGAAGGGGAGGTGGGGGAAGGCCTGTCATGGCTGTCGGATCAGAGACCCATTTCTGGCTTTGATCCTTGTTCTTACAGGCCTGTGGTTGTAATGAAGTACAAGAACATAGTGGGAAAAACTGGAAACAATCTGAAAGTCCTTCAGTCAGTGAATGGATAAGTGTATTGCAGTATATTCATAAAATGGAATCCTACTCAGTAATGAAAATTAACTACTGGTATGTGCAGTAACAGATGAATCTTGGATGCATCTGGCTAAATGAAAGAAAGCACACCCAAAATGCTACATATGATATCATTCCATTTATATGACATTCTGGGAAAGGCAAAACTAGTTTAGGCAGAGAAAAGATCAGTGATTGTCAGAAGTTGGGGTTTGGAAGAGTTATTGACTACATAGGGGTAAGAATGAGAGAGGGCTTGGGGATAATGAAACTGTTCTGTATTCTTGATTGTGGGGGTGGTTACATGACTCTGCATGTGTCAAAACTTAAAAAATTGTACACCATAATTTTACTGTAAATAAAAAAAAAGTGTATACAGTAAGAAAGCTAGGATAGTAGCTTCCCTTGCAGTAGGAAGTAGTGACTGGGAGTGAGCTGAGGGGGGTTGCCTGGGGTGCTGGTCATGCTTTGTTTTTTGAGCTTCATGCTGGTTATTACATGGGCAATGTTGGTTGTAAAAATTCATTGAGGTATATGTACACTTATGATATTAATGCCTTATATATATATACTTCAATAAAAAGTGAACTGAAGAGATGGTGAGAGAATTCCAGTCTTCACTATCCTCTGGTCTCCTCCCCCTAATTCTTCCCACATCTGTTTACTACTATCATCATAATAGAAACTGCTAGAAAAATCCTAGGGTGAAATCTTCCCTTGTAAGGTTTAGAACCTGTTCCTAAAAGTCTCAAACAATACCAGTTCACCTGACAACCAATTATGCTCACAATGCTGTTTAGCAGACTTGGATTCGTTTTGCCAGCTCTCAGGTAACCACATTTGGGGGTGCAATGGAGAAAGAGGTGGTACTAGTGGAAAATCAATGAGAAACTAGTCGGTGAATAAGTAGTGACTATTTTATTCTTAGTTAAGTTGAATGAAAGAAAATGTATCTTATCTGGGCAATTTAAGTAATTTTTTCCAGGCCTGCTTCTAGACTCTCAATAATTAATGTTCTGGAGAATTGCTAGGGACTGTAGGGCCTAACACTGTGCACAGACTTAAGAATGGCTTTATGAAAGCTTGATGTCTCCTAGTTCCATGTTTAAGGCTGAGTTACGGTAGGTCACAGTCACAGCATCTCTAACAAAGAGTAGGAATCCTTAGAAGAGATGAGTAAACGTGAGTCTAAGGACAGAAATGTTATTTCTTAACTCTGTCAAAATTTCTCTTTAGGTGATGAAGAATGGTGGACCATATTCTTTTTCAGTCTTCTGAGAAAAGACCATAAATACACTCCAGAGCAAGGGGAAGAACAGATACTGAGAGTCAAGTATCAGACGCTGTGGTCGGTGTTGTGTACACACTGCTTTATTTCATCCTAACAATCCTGCAAGGTAGTCAGTCAAGTCTCATTTAAAATACGGCAAAATGAAGGCTCAGGTTAATTTGTACAAGGGGAGTTAGAACAATTCCAGGCTTCTGATTCCAAAGGAAAAAGGAATTAACTTTTAGAGTGCTCCCCTTTATTTGTACTCTTACTGATTCTCAAAATATCTCCATTTTACAGGTAAGTAAACAGAAAGAGGGATGACATGACTTGCCCAAGTAATGTTATATAACCAGTAAGTGGCAAAGTTGGCATTCAAATCAAGCTCTGATTCCATAGCCCACATTCTTCACATTATAGTACTCTGCAGCCAAAGCCAATGAGAACTACGTTGTACAATTCAAGATACATGGAATCTTCAACATTGGCCTAACATTTGTGTTCTTCCCTGATGTCTTTCAAATTGGACCACTTCAATAAAATCTCTGAAGTTCACTAAAATTTACTTTCTTTTAATCAGTAATTCAAATCTTGAGGAACTGAACTGCCCACTAAATTCAGCTTGCAACATGGGAGGAAAAGGAACTGGAATAGTAGAAAAAACACTGTTCCAGGAGCCAAGTGTTAAAAGCTCTACTCCCGGCCCTGCTCCTGATTCACAGAGCAACTTCTACAAGGACACGGGGATCCCTGGGCTTGTTCTACCACCTGTGAATCGAGTATTCAAGGCAGAATCTTAGAAGGTAACTGTCTAACACTTTAGAAAACAAATTATCTTCATTATTAAAGTCCTCAAATTGCCACCTTCGGCATTTAAATACTAGGTAGTGTTTCGGCAGGTATTTGTTGACCAGAGTGTACGCTGCTGGAATGAGCCTGTCAAATTCACGTCCATCATTTTTTGAAGAGCTCCATGCAGATATGGAGTAGGAAAGCAACCAGAGATGTGTATTTACATTTTTGCCAACTTAAGAGTATTAAGAAGCATGTTAAAAATATACAGTATTTCATAAAACATTCAAAGTAGTATTATTCCCTGTGACTCAGAATAGTGGACTTTCCCCCCCTAATGAATAGTGTCCCATTTTTGGTTCTAAAGAGGTTCTTTCCTTGTATGTCACTGTGACGGTGTTAGGCTAACTTGTTTCCTAGAAATAGTACTTCCAGCTGTGATGGGAGTGACTTGTTCTGTGGGTCTGTCCTTACTTATTGCATGACTCTGGGCAAGGACCTTCATCTAAGTCTATCCTTATATGTAAAGGGGCACTAACATGACAGTAAGTCACAGCGCCTTACATAGTTGGGGCTGAAAAATGAGGCAGCATAGTATATTAGAAAGAACTTGGGGCAGAGAGATTTTGATATCAATACCCAGTACTGCCATTTACTAGCTAAGTAATCTTGGCCAAGTGATTGTGCTTAAGCCTCAGAGTGGGGCTAGTCACTCTTATTTCTTTTGAAAAAATAAGTGATAATATACTAAAGTGGCTGTTGCATAGTAGTACTAAGCAATTAGTACTTTTATTAATAATTCTATACAATCTAGAAAGGTGCACAAATGTTAGTATTTTCTTACAAAAAATTACTTAACAAGGACATTCAGAAAGCAATGTAATATACATTTTAACACATAAGTGGTATCATTTTATAACCTCGATATTTTAAAACATTTGATCAATAAATATTTCAAAATGACTTATGCCACTTTGCTATAAGGTGATTTCTGGGGCTCTTGAGATCATTTTACAGTAATTTTTTTCTAATATGTTTATGTTTGGTAACAACTTGTATTTGGCATATAACAGCTATGGTATATATGTCAATGTGTTAACATACTCAATTCTAAAACCTACAGAAGAAATTTGATTAGGTTGCTTAATGACTATTGAATTTAGTTTACAGATTATGTGATGCACCAAACTTCCAAGAAAATGCTAGCTTGTTAAAATAGTTTTTTTTCAGAATATAAGACACATTTAACATACAGATTTTACAATAAAGTTTATTAGCTGTTCTCCTCTTTCTCATAAATGGAATGGATAATATTGATAATTCTTTACAAAGCAGTACTCATTTGTTTAAGAAACTGTAATGAAGAGGCTGTCAAAAACATATATTTAATAAACAACTCCAAAAAAGCAATGGGAAGCCAAACAATATTATTAATATAAAAAGACCAGAGAAATTGAATTCTGAAATTATCTACTTATCACTAAAATTTCTTAGTTGCTCACCATAAGGATCTGTGCAACTCTACTGCAGAGCAGCTACGAGAGATGAAAGGTGTGCAGTCTGAGGGGAAAACACTCATACACATGAGGCTTTTGCCTATTTGCCTATTAATGAAAGAAAAACTGGAAAGAGAAGCGGAGACCAAATCCAAAACCAATGACAAGAACAACGGTAACAACAACCACCCCCCCTCCAAAAAACAAAAAACAAAAAACCCCACAAAAAACCAACCAGGAACGAATTGAAAACTTTTGTAGAAAAGAGGAGAACATGCCTGTATTTTTACTCATAACCTAATTTCCCTAAAGGTTTCTTTCCGCAACCACCATACCCCTATTTTCATTTCACATGATTAAGGAAGATAAAGTCTAATCCATTAATATTTAATTTAAAAACCAAACGAAAAGTTAAGAGTAGGTGGCAAAAGAAAAAAAATATATCTTAAATATATGTTTGTGTGTGCAACTATGTAAAGAAAATAATTCCCATAGTTACAGAGTTTAAAGAAAGTTTATATATATTTATATATATATATATTTATTATAACAAAATAGTTATTGTGGGTAAAATATTCATTAAAATCTGACCCCTAAGAATACATTTAAAGTTTTAGACTATGAATTGGACTCCTTTCCCTTTGTCATAATGATTACTACATCACCACTGTAATGACTGTTCTGTATTTGTATCTATGAAATTTTCTCAACCTTATGTGTAAAAGGTGAGCTCCCCTAGCACCTAAACATGGCCTCAATTCAGAAAATGTGATGATCATTATATACGAACAACTCAGGTAAGACACTATAAATAGTGTTGCACAAGAAGATTAAAAACATTTAAATATTGTTATTCCTAGCCAATCTATTGGGGGGAAAAAACTCTCAAACAATAAAAGACTTTAAGAAGAACTCTTATGAAAAATGAATATCGCTTGTGAAATTATGAAAGTTAAACCAGATATTAATTGTGAAATTAAAAAACATATGCTTGCCTTATTTGTTTCTAATGAAATATTTGCTTTGATAACAAAAGTCAATTGAGAAAAGGACTTGAGAGCTAATATATTGGCCAAACCATGCTATCAAAGCTAAGCGTGCATCGTTGCTCAAAGTTTACTAAATCACTGATTAAAACCACTTTTCTTTCATTTATATTGAAATTTGAAAACAATGTATATAAAGCTGTTCCGAAAATCTCTTAAAGTTACTTTCCCTTAAACATTAAGGAATTTTACAACAATTTCCCCATCTCCCCAAATGCTATTAATAGCTGGTCAGGCCATTTTGTCTTCAGTTGTGAAAAATGGCCACAAACGAATGGTGACACAAAATAATACAGATGCTACAATTTGAAGGAGACAGTAAGATGTTAAAAATAAGTGCAACTGCAGACCATGATGAGTGGGATATGATTCAACACAGAAGAAGTATTGAAGACAGACTCCAGAAGGAAAGGGCAAAGAAGTGTCAAAGAAAGTGAGATTGTGGAAAAGAGAAACAGAGAAACATCAAGTCCTCATAACTTTTCTTTTGCTGGAACCCAAATGTAAGGACCAGACTGTTCTTCTATAATCTGCTTCACTTGGTTGTAAATGTCTTCCAGCGTATCTCCCTGTACAATAGCTGCAATGACAGAAACAAAATCAGAAACCTTCATTAATTGTCTATTTTCACCATTACAATTACTGGTGAAAGAGTAGAAGCTATTTCTTAGAAATATATACTCAATCAGGAAGAGATATCATTTCATGTACTGTTTGATTAGTAAAAACGTTCATCAATTTTTCTATTTATAAAATAGAAAAAATTTTCTATTTGTAAAATAGAAAAATATTTTACAAATAGAAAAATTTTACTCTAAAAATTTATCAGAAGGCAAGATTTGGTGATTTTTTACTTTGTTTTGTGTATCTGGGAAATACACACTGAAGTATTTAGAGGTAAAAAGAGATGACTGCAACTTTCACTTAAATATTTCAGAAAAAAATTATAAATGTGGTAAAATGTTAACATCTGGGGAATATGGGTAAAGAGTATATGAGACTTGCTGGTTCTATTCCTGTGATTTTTCTGTAAGTCTGAAATTTTTAAAAAAAAACCACACAGGTTACAACACCATGACACTTAATGATACTTAATATGAATGATACAAATATAAACTAATCATTATTTCAAACAAATAAATAATAACAAAAACTTGTCCAAAAGAATAATTTAAAGAATAAGTAAGGGAAGATTATTTGGGAATTTCTACCCCCTTTTTCTTTTTAAATGAATAACATCTTAAAATGGATCAAAATTTATGTAGTATAAGAGAAAAGTTAGTTTCATAGAAGAAATCAGGTCTGAATGCTTTCTTCTAGTTAAGTATGAATTATTCCTGTACACTCCTGTCCTTATCATCAACCTAAGAAACATTAAATTTCAATATTCCTCATCACCACAGCCTAGATTAGATGAATTATTCTGAAAATGGTAACACTTATTATTACTACTGGTAAATGTGGGCATAGTTCAAAATCTTTTGTAATGGGTCAGTTCATATGGCTCCAAAGCAAAATTCTATCATAAAGGGCATTACTACACTGATGCCAACCTGTGAAATGTTCAGTAAATTCTTGTTCCAGTTTCATGGCTCTCTCAAACGTCTTTCTGGCTTGTTCTTCTGTTAGACGTTTATTCATTTCCCTATGCAAATAAATTTAGAAATTGGTACATTATAATACTTCTGAATAAAGATGACAAAGGAGAGAAGATACGTATAAAATCATGAAAAGCTGAGCTCTGTTGAGAATCTCAATGTCATTAAAAACTATATTTAGTCACTGAATATGTAGTTTTAAACTTGGAATGACAGAAAGATTCCATACATTTTTGCATCAATGATCATAAGGAATATTGGTCTGCAGTTTTCTTTTCCTGTAGTGTCTTTGTATGGCTTTTGTATCAAAGTAATGCTAGTCATATCACATAGAGTTAGGAAGGACTGACATTAGTTCTTCTTTTAAATGTTAAAATTTACCAGGGAAGCCATCAGATCAGGAGCTTTTCTTTGTTGGAAGTTTTTGATTACTGATTCAATTTCCTTAGTACAGAATGATATATATGTATAAAATACATATAACTTACTATAGTTATTGGTCTATTTAGATTTTCTGTTTCTTTGTGATTTAGTCTTGGTAGGTTTTGTGTTTCCAGGAATTTGTCCATCTAGGTTATTTATTTTTCTGTTGCCCAATTGTTCACAGTATTCTTATAATCCTTTTTATTTCTGTAGAATCAGTAATAATGTCTCTACTTTCATTTCAGATTTTAGTAATGAGTCTTCTTTTTTCCCCCTTATTCTAATTCTGTTTACCTAAAGGTTTGTTATTTTTGTTGATCTTTTTGAAGATCAACTTTTGCAGCCTAATATACGGTCTATCCTGGAAAATGCCCATGTGCATTACTTCTTAGCTTTTGGTAGAATTCAGTAAGTCCTCTTAGCTTAATGTTTTACTTATGGGAAGACTTTTCATAACAGAGTCAAGTTCTTTGGTAGGCACGAGCCTAGATTTTCTATTTCTTTTTTTCCTTTTCTATTTCTTCAGATTGTTTTGAAGCATAACTTTCAAACATAAAAGAGGAATATCATAAATGTACATCTTGATGAGTTTTCTGAAACTTACGCTTACCTGTATATCTAGTACCTAGATCAAGATCTAGAATACTACACCAGCACCTCAGAATCTGGGTGTGTTCACTTCAGTTACCAATCTACCTTTCAAAGAGTATCCCCTATTTGATTTCCATAAGCAACGATGAAATTTGGGATCATGGAGTACATATACTTTTAAGTCTGGGTTTTTAAAAAAACTCAAATTATGTTTGTGATATTCTTCTATACTTTTGTGTGTAGTTGGAGATTGCTCATTCTCATTACTGTAGAGTATTTCATTGTGTGAATATGTCATAATTTATCTATGCACTGATAGGTATTTGGATAGCTTCAAGTTTTTGATTATTTAGTACAGTATTTCTGTCTAATCCAGTACATGTTTTTGGTAAACATAAGTAAATATTTCTATTTAGTATTTAAGTTATATGCATGTTCAGCTTTAGGAGATACTGTAAACAGTTTATCAATGTGGATGTACCAATTTATACTCCTATTAGTACTATGAGTTTCAGTTACTCCATATCCTTGCCAACATTTATTTTTTCATCTTAGCTCTTTTGGCATATGGGTGTTAGTATACGACACTGTGGTTTTCACTTGCATTTCTATGAGAACTATCTAAAGTGTTGATTGACTGTTTGGATCCTCTTTTGTGAAGTATCTAAATTCTTTCCTCATTTTTCTATGGGTTGCTTGTGTTAACATTTTTAATGTTTACTATATGTGTAGTGATAGTCCCATTTTCATTTCTAATATTAGATATGCCTTTTAAACTTTCTTTTCTTGATCTTTCTTATTAACAGTTAATAGTATTTTCAAAGAAAGTATTTTTCGTTTTGTTAATCCTCTCTACCGTATGTTTATTTTATATGCTACTACATCCTCCTAATTTATTTACTTGACAATTTTATTACCACTGAGTTCAAAACATTTGTTAACATGGTGCGATTTCTTCTTTGACCCATTAAGAATTTCCAAATATTTGGGATTCTCTAGTGATCTTTTTATTATTTACTACTATTTTAATTTCATCATGGTCAGAGAATATTTGTTTTTAATAACTTGAAATCTGTGGCTTAGCATATAGTCTTGGTAATTGTTCTAACTGAATTTGAAATTAAGGTATAAATTATACAGACATTGAGGGCAGTGGTCTACATATGTCAGTTAGGTAAAGTTCCCTATTTGTGTTGTTCTATACCCTTATTGATTTTTTGTCTGTTTTCTTATTCTATTATTTTGTGATTGGTAAGTTCACCCACTATGATTGCGGAATTAGTATTATTTTTCCCGTGTTGTCAATTTGTGCTTTAGGTATTTTGAAACTGTGCTTTTAAAAGTACAAAGAAATGTATAAACATATCTTCCTGATAGAGAGAACCTTTCACTTTTATCAATATCCCTTTTTATATCTGGTAATACTTTTTTCACCTTGAAGTATACTGTGAAAGCAATATAAACCAGCTTAATTTGTTTAATATTTGCATGGTATATACTTTTTTTCTATTCTCTTTCAGCCTTTCCACAGAGTAACATTTAAAATGTGTCTTATGAAGCAACAGATAGTTGATGGGTTTTATAGCACACTATCCAAAATATGGCACCTTGACATATTGAATATTTTAAGCTGAAGGAATCTGAAAAATGGCAGGTGCAGGAAGGAGACTCTGGCCTTTCCCTGAAGCAGGTCAATAAGATCTTCATATGAGAAGTGACTTCCTTATATCTGAAGAAAAGCAGCATTCGTATCTCTGAAGATGGAGGGAAGCTGCATGAATAAGCTTTGCTAAGTTTCCACTAGTTTACTATTCTTGTGTAATATCCTCTGGTCCTATCATATTTTCCTATCACTTCCACTCTTCATCTAACCTAGTATAAAAATGCTCAGGTTTAACCATTTCTTTGGGTCTTCATTTTTTATGAAGGGTTCCATGTTATGTAAAACTAAAATAAATATGCATGCTTTTCTCTTGTTAATTGGTCTTTTGTTATAGAGGCCCAGCTGAGAACCTAGAGGAGTAGAAGGTAAAGTTTTTTTCCTCTTCTACGAAATCTACAAATAGTTGTTTTTTAATTCCTCTATTCTGACAATTTTTGTCTTTTAATTGGATCATTTCATCTAGCATTTAACTGATGAAACATTTGGGTTAATTTATACTATCTTACTACCTATATCCTTTTTGACAAACCTGTACTATGTTTCTACTTGCTCATTCCTCTCTTCTTTTAGTATTTAAATTCTACTTTTTGCTCTCTATTAGGCAAGCAGTTATACATTATTTTATTCTCTTAATGGTTACTCAGAGCTGCATTGCCCAGTTAAGTAGGTACTAGACACATGTGACTATTTAAACTTAAATTTCTAATATGTTACTTTATACTTTAGTATATTAATGCTGATGATTATGATAGTTAATATTAAGGGTACTTATTTAATCCTTACAATAACCCTCTGAGGTGGGTATACTATTACTATCTCCATTTTACATATAAAGGAACTGAGATGCTAGAAGGGTAATTAAATTACCCAATCTCATAAGTGACAGACTGGATGTATACTTAGAGGCTATGCCTTAGGCATTTACACTTACATGATATTTTCCATGGATTTGGGTTTAATAAAAATGGAGATTGGGTAAAGCTGTGCAATCTGCAATCTCTTTATGGCATTTCCAGACACATCAAGGATACAGTGTTTGCCCTAAAATAGAGGGAACAGAAAAGAAAAACAAGTGAACCAAGTATTTTCAATTGTATCAAAGGTACATTTCTTACAGGTACAAAATTTGATTTATATTTTTGGATCCTGTTTACTTTAAGCAAACAGGTCATTTCTGTTTTGAAAACAATGAATACTGACTATGGATAGTTAATTTTCCATTACTCAAATTTTACATTTAAAAAGGAATGAAAATACAGTTCCCTTATTCCTAGCTTTCATAGACCAGTAATCTCTCCAAATGGAACCATTATGGGGTTCCCATCTTATTTTGCTGAGAATGGGCATAAAAAATATCTTAAGCTACCATTTTATCATAACTATCATTTCATAAAAGAATATGTATGATCAAACAAGAAAGTAAAAGCCCAGAATAAAAGAGAATCTTTAAAACTGAATAAATTTAAATTTATAAAACCCCACTATCTCTATTCTATCCTTTTTTTTTTCATTTTACTGGGGACCAGCAAAAACTTTACCATAAACTGTAGCATTTGGAAACTCCAGTTCTGAATTTGAGACACTTTCCTGAAATGCTTAAATTCACTGCCAAAGGCCATTTAGGTTTTTAATAAAGATGAGTATTTCCATGTTAAATAGGGTAGTACTTCTAATTTATCAAACAGATTTTATTATAACATTTAAAATCAGGTACTCCCCCTAAATGCACTTTGTAATCTAAAGGCTTGAGTCTACTTCAATGAATGGTAATTTCAACTTAGTAGGAATATTTAAAATAAAAATTTTAATATTATATGAATACTTCAAATATATAGAAAAGTAAAGAAAATAATACATACATAAACCCACCATCCACTTTTATCAGGTATTACTATTTCACCTGATAGCTTAGAAATTTAAAACACCTTAACACTGTAATATTAACATTCTATATTTTATCCCCCTCTCCACAGGTGTACACTATAGTTTGACGCTCATTTGCAGACGTAATATTTCTTTATCCCTTATTTCCTAAAAACAATGACATCTCTTACACAGCTACAGTATAATTTCAGTTGATTACCTAGTATCCTTTACTGCAAAAGAAAAAAAATTTCTTGGTCCAGAATCCAATCCAGGATTACCTATTGCATTTAGTTGTAATGTCTCTTTAGTCTCTGTCAATCTGACATAGTTCTTTAGTCTTTGTCCTTTATGATTTTGATATTTTTGAAGAGTACAGAATTTTTTTTTTTAAATGAGTTTGTCTCAATCTGGGTTTGCCTGATGTTTCCCATCAGATGGCAGGATACACATTTTGGGCAAGAATACCACAGAAGTGATGCTGTATCCTTCTTACATCACATCAGGAAGCATATGATGTCCATTTGTCCCATTACTAGCAATGTTAATTTTGATCCCTTGTTAAAGGTTTTGTCTACTGGATTTCGCCACCATAAGATTACTATTTTCCCTTCGTAACTGGTAAGTATTTTGGGGAAGGATATGTTGAAGCTACACAAATATCCTTCTTCTTATCAGATATTAATTCACTAATTAATTTTAGCACACACTGATGTGTGTCTTGCCTGAAACAATCATGGTGGTCATCAAGAGAGATTTCCTAATTCATCATTCCTTCTAATTTTATTAGTAGACATTCTAATAAGGTAAGGCAAAGCTTTCCCTTCTAACCATTTATTTATTTATTCATATATTTATTTATACCATTATGGACTCTTGGATTCTTATTCTCCATGTTATAATCAGTTATTATCATCATTTATTTTAATATTCAAATTATCCCAGACTTGGCCACTGGGGGACTTTATAGATTGGCTTTGATGTCTTTTTGACATATTTATATCATTCTTTAAGCACTTCCTTAGTTTTCTGGCATAACAAAATGTTATAGGCTCATCTTGTACTGTCCCAATGGAATGAGCCATCACTCCAGCGAGTTCTGAATCTTTTTAATGAAGGATGGTATTTAAAGGCCAAGATACAGGCACTAGATACTCTCACTGTTTACTGAGGAATCATCATTTTTAGACCTTTTTTGTGGACAGAGCAAGAAAACATATGCACCTCTCTATTTCTATCCTATCTATATTAAGATGCATGGATTTATATTCATATCTCTAATTCCAATCCAATTATCACAGTTTATCTACCCTATCCCCTTTGATATTTCTAAAATCTTTTTTGACAGTGAGAAACCTACTCCCATTGTCAATGTATTAATTTGCTCAACTCTGAAACAGACCTGTTAGCTCCTGCCACTCTGAAAAACCTACTAATTAGAGTTCAGTATTTATTCACAGGTTTACTGTATAGTCTATCTTTAAGGATTACTGAGATTAAGACTAATCCTCTCCCTTCCCCTCCTCAATGCAGTTATTTGAAAATTAACGTGGAAAAAACTATTTGAAATGCAGTTAGATTAGATTTACTGTTTGTGTATCATTCAGACTAGACTAGACTAATTAATTTACTGTTTGTATATCATTTAGCTTTTCCCTCATCCTTTTTATTTTTTGAATACACAAAATGTTAATATAGTTCTAAAAATAAAAATTATACAAAAAGGTATACTTGGAGAAATGCCACACTTTCATCCCTTCTATCTCATCCTCAATCTCCCATACTTTCCACTCCTCCCTCTGTAGGTGACCGATCTCATTTGTTTCTGATCTATCACTTTTATATCTTATTTTTGTAGGGATTGTGTATTTATATCTTTTGTCCATTTCCTATTAGATTTTTGGTCTCTGTTCCCTTAATTCTTAAGGGTTCTTTATATTTCAGGAATATCAGCCCTTTGTAAATTTTTCTGTCAGCTGTTTTTTAACATTGGTAGTGGTATTTTCTAATAGTTTTTGGAAGAGTTTTTTTGGCCAAGCAAAGGCCTTTTTCTTCCATGTGTTCAAATTTGTCAATCTTTTATTGCATCTGAATTTTGATTCATGGTTAAAAAACTTTCCCCACGCCCAAGTTGTGTTTTCTTCTGTCAATTGTATTAGAGCCAATTTTTGTGTATGGGGTGAAGTATGGTTTCTAATTTATCTTTTCTCCAGTTGTTTCAGCATTATTAAAAGCCCTAGTGATTTGAGATTGTACATTTATCATATACTGTATTTTCATATACATTTGGGTCTTTCCTGGATTCTTTTTTTTATTCTGCTGGCTTGTTTGTCCCATTCATGGGCCTGTAGCACATTGTTTTAATTAAGACGACTTTATAGTATGCTTTAATATCCGGTAGGGCTAGAATCTCTTGTAGCCTTTCCTTTTGCATTGTCCTGCTTCTCATATGAACTTCAATTTGACTTGTCTAAACCCATAAAAAGCTGGCAGTTATTTTTATCAGGAGTCTGTTCATATATAAACTAGCTTAGATAGGACTGGCAGCTTTACAATGCTGAATTGTCACAGCTAAGAGCAAGGAGTGTCTCTCAATTTGTTCAAGTATAATATTTTGTCTTTCAGGAGTGTTTTACAGATTTCCTTATGTGAGCCTGAATATTTCTTACTAGGTTTATTAAGTATTTTATTTTCTATTTCTTATATTATAAATGAGGTTTTCTCTATCATTAACTTCTAACTGGCTGTTTTTCATATAAATGAAAGCTATTAATCTCTGCATATTAATTTTATATGCTGCCTGACTCTAGCTTTTTGTTTTATGTCTTTGATTTTATAAAAGTCTTAAATTTTATAATGAATTTGTATTTAAAAAAATAAATTTTATAATAGTTTTTTTTTATGGTCTCCAGGTATACTACATTATCTGGAAACAGAGATAGGTAAATTTTACTTCTTTCCCAATTCTGCCTCTAACTGATTTCTACTGTCTAACAGCATTGACTAATATCTTGAGTAGCAGTAGTAGAGGTAATGGACATCTTTGCCTTGTTCCTCATCATAATGGAACTGCTTCAGTGTTTCTCCCACTAAGGATTTAAAATGAATTATATTTATCCATCCATTCAACTCAATCTCTCTTTCTCTTTAAAAAATAACAACAATCTCTGTATTTTTGAGTCTTTTCCCCCTGGGAAAGGTACTGAATTTTATCAAAAGCTTTTCAGGCATCTACGCACATGTAACTTTTCTCTTTAGATCTGTTAATGTGGTAGATTATATTAGTGGATTTCTGCATATTGAGCTGACTTTAAATTCCTTTAATCCCATTTGGTCATGGTGTATTATTTTTGCAATGTGGTATTGGATTCTGTTTATTAAAATATTTAACACTTTTGTATTAATATTTATAAGTGATATTGGTCTATAATTCTCGCTGTTTTCGACGGGTTTAGATATCAGTATTAGACTTGCTTTATAAAGTGAATGCTCTTGAACAGTATTTATGGAGCTTCAAGATGATCTAAACTTTCAAGATTTGGTAGAGTTCCCCAATGGAGTTATCTGGGCCTGGTCCTTCTTTTGGGATAGTTCCTTGGTAACTTGCTCCATTTCTTCTAAAGATTTCTTCTTCTATAGAAATCTTTCCATTTCTAATAGGTCAATTTTGGTAAACTGTATTTTTCTAGGAAATTATCCATCTCAACCAAGTTTTGAATTTTATTTATATAAAGATATACAATGTAGTCTTTTACGATTTCATAATATTTCAATGGTTATGTCCCGTCATTTCCTGTGTTTATTATCTGTGACTTTCCCTTAAAAAAATCAGATTAGCTAGTAGTTTGTCTATTATGTTATTTCTTTTTAAATCTTCTGTTTTAAATCTTCTATTCTCTACCATAATACCTTAAAAAATCTTATTTTACTAATTGTTATTATTATAAAGAATATATGCAAGTGACAAAAACTTAAGTAGTTGAGAAAACATATAAAGTTAAAAGTGTAAGTTTTGTTTTCCCCCAAAGCACAAGGAGGACTATCAGTTAAAACAAACAAACGAACAAACAGCTTGATTAAGCATAAATGACATACAATAAACTGCAGGTATTTTAAGTATACAATTTGCTAAGTTTTGACATGTATGTACACCTTCAAATCATGACCATAATCAACAT